GTCCTGTGTGGGTCCTCTGGGGGACCTGTAGGGGTCCTGTGAGGATCCTGTGGGGATCCTGTAGGGATCCTATGTGGGTCCTGTGGGAGACCTGTAGGGTTCCTGTGAGGATCCTGTGGGGATCCTATAGGGGTCCTGTGGGGGACCTGTGTGAGTCCTGTTTGGGTCCTGTGTGGGACCTGTAGGGGTCCTGTGAGGATCCTGTGGGGGTCCTGTAGGGATCCTGTGGGGATCCTGTAGGGGTCCAGTATGGGTCCTGTAGGGGTCCTGTAGAGGGACCTGTGTGGGTCCTGTAGGGGTCCTGTGTGGGTCCCATAGGGGACCTGTGGGGATCCTGTAGGGGTCCTGTGGGGATCCTGTGGGGATCCTGTAGGGGCCCTGTAGGGGACCTGTGGGGATCCTGTAGGGGTCCTGTAGGGGACCTGTGGGGATCCTGTAGGGGTCCTGTAGGGGTCCTGTAGGGGACCTGAGGGGATCCTGTAGGGGTCCTGTGGGCATCCTGTAGGGGTCCTGTGGGGATCCTGTAGGGGTCCTGTGGGGATCCTGTAGGGGCCCTGTAGGGGACCTGTGGGGATCCTGTAGGGGTCCTGTAGGGGTCCTGTAGGGGACCTGAGGGGATCCTGTAGGGGTCCTGTGGGCATCCTGTAGGGGTCCTGTGGGGATCCTGTGGGGATCCTATAGGGGTCCTGTAGGGGACCTGAGGGGGGCCACTATCTTCTTCCAGATATTAAACCTGATTTCTTCTGATGAGGCAGATTTTCTACAGTTTTGCCTTGAAGCAGATCCAGAGGTTTGCCGTCATTTAACAAGCGCTGCTACTTTACCACTAAGCTGAGCTTCACCAGCTGATTAAAGTTATACATTATTAGGAAGTCTCTGACTTTGAAGAATGTAGTAAAAATAATGCTTTGAAAACATTTGAATTTTTCATAATGAATGAATAGAAAAATCCCCTTTCAGACCTAAAGCAACACCGTCTAATTAGAAAAGTAATCATTTATCTCTTTAGCAGCGCTCAGAAACATATCGTAGAAAAAAAAATCTGTCTGGGTCCACAAAAATGTAAAATTCTTCTGTAAGCCTCGTATGGAAACACGGGCAAGTGAATAAAATAAAAGTTGTATAAAGTTCAGAGGAAAATAACATTTAATTTTAAGGCCAAACTGTTTGGGCCTGGAACATGAAAAATCAAACTGAAACCATTAACTCATTAATTTACCATTTATGCATTAGATTAAAAGATCTCTACCCGGGCAATCACACATATAAATACTTTACTTTTTAATCTTTTAGCCCCTTATAGTAAAGCATTGGATGATTTAAAAAAAAAAAAAACTTCAGACTAAAACAAAATGTTCATCCTTAATAAAGTATCTTCAAAAACATTTTTTCTCCTAGAAAATATCTTGTCAGATTAAAGCTAGAATGTCCATTAAGTTTCATATTATTGGATATAAATATATTTAACAAATAAAAATCTGAAAATGATGTCAGGAATTTTCATGAAAACTTTCTTTTTATTGCAATAGTAAACAGTAAATATCCATGAACAGGTTTTAATTATTCCTGTTATTGCTTCTGAGTTGTTGTGGTTGTTTTTACACAAGATAGAGATAAATGTGGATTAGTAATTCGATAAATCTATAGATTATGGAGGAGAATCTACTTCATTTTGAATTGGGCTTAAAGATTCATTTACAGCAGAAGCAATAAAAACAGATCAAAGAGCAAATATTTGTCTAATTCCTTTGTTTGGTGAACAAAATATTTTACTTAATTGATTAATTAATATGCTTGAACAACAAATGTTTTAGAGTCTTTATGAAAAATCAAGATAAGCAACAGGAAAGAAATAATAGATGTTATAAAAGATGATATAAAGAGCAGAGACAGATTTTATGATACATCAATTAAGTATTTATTTCAACAAAAGCCCCAGTTAATAAGATTTACTTGTTATATTATTTTGAAATGAGGCAGATATGACGTAATTATCCAATTACAGCCGTGCTGAAAACATTATTAAAATAAGACCTTAGATCAGCTTTTTTCCAACTTAAGTTCAAAAGAATCAAGCGCTAATGATTAGCTGCATATGCTAACCATGACTTTAGCTGCGCATTACTGAGAAATACAGAAAACAATCATCGGTAGAACCAACCGGAAGTCAGACTGCACAGCAGCTGAAGACATCCGGTTTGAGGGTTTTGGATTTCAGAATAAAACTATTTGACTTTCTCACTAGACGTAAACCCAGCGCGTGTGTGGATAGCTAGCCGTCAGATTGCCGCCATATTGTGAGTGGCACATTTCGAGACGATTTTTGCAGTTTTATTTCCAAGTTTTGCAGATTTTTACACTATTTAATAAAGACGCAGTGTGATCGTTTTCTCTCTTACTGTTTGCTATTAAACCACAGCCACAGCTTTCTTCTTCATAGCGACTTTATATTTCACAGATGCTATTCTGAGATTCTGAAAACCTTTCATTACTTTTCTAAATGTATACGTTTTTTCATACTAATAGGCTCTATGCACAGCTCCACTACTTCCTGAATTTAAGGCAGCTCCTTTGTTTCCTGTCTTTCATGATTGGATGCACTGATTAATCCAGGTGTGTATGACCTAAGTAACTGGCCAGACACACCTGGATTAATCAGTTCGTCCAGTAATGAAAGACAGGAAACAAAGGAGCTGCCTTAAATTCAGGAAGTAGTGGAGCTGTGCATATAGCCCATAGGGCTCGGGATCCACGTTGCATTGTGGGACGTCGCGGTCATATTGACGGCTACGCAAACGTAAACATAGCTCTGATACAACGTTGTTGTTGAAAGAAGAGACAGAAGTAGAGAGAAAAAAGTCAAAAAAATGTCAAAATCCCAAAAAGGATCTGGAATTTACCGGGACACATTAAGTAGAGAAGCCAGGGACCGGTATGTTGACAAAATCAGCATTATTAATAATCTGGATCCATATGAAGTTCCAAACAATGAGTGGAGCACCGATGAGTGAGCGACTATACTTCAAAACAGTTCCCAAGCTACAAGTCCTTGGAGTCTCATATGCAGTTCATGAATGGATGGGTTCAGGAGCTGCAGATCATAAAGCCAGCAAACAGTGGGAACACAGTAATCCGTACGAAGGTAAGCTGTGATCAGACGGGCTCTGGAACCTGCTAGTTTAGCAACTGCTAACCGCGAATGCTAACAACCACTCACGCATGTAATGTACTTTTAACTAGCTGCTATGTGTTTCAAAGGTGTAGTTAGTAACGTTAACTGCCAACCCTCCGGGTTTCTCACGTATTTGAGCCTTTTCCTGCTGCCGTTTTTATTATTTTCCCGTAAAAGATCCCAACTTTGAAGGAAAGAAACAAAGTAGGCTATAAAATAAAGCCGTGCATCTTTAACTTACCAGAATGAAAATGATGTAACAGCACTGTAAACTTTCAGAGGGATAATTTTCAACAGATCAAATGAGTGAGATCTGCAGAGGCATCTATATCGTCTTATTATCCATAAAGATAATAACAACATAAAGGCTTCTCAGCAAGGAAGAAGACATTTCGGCAAATACAAAATAAGAGTTTGTTTGCAAATGCATGCAGGGATTAAATCATTGTGTAAATCATTATAACATTTGCAGGAAAGGGAGGGAAACCTTCCGCCCTGAGAGCACTATCCTCATTAATGTCACCTCAGTCATTTAAAGTACAGACATTAGAACAATTTAATGGGAATGTTTTGCTGCAGGAGGGACGGGTGTCCTTCAATGAATAAATGGCAACATAGAGGCTAAGACTGAACTTAAAGCTCCTGGATGAATGCTGGTTCGCTCAGCTGACGTGTCGTCTCTCCTGTCTCCTGTATGTCCAGTAACTTTAAAGTAGACTCAAAGGACATTGAGGCTTTTTATCATTTATTACTTTTGCTGGTAATTCTGATATAAAGCGTTGCACCTCCTGATACACGAATTATGCAGCATAAACAAACAGGTAAACAGAAAGCTTGAAGGTGAGATCAAAAACTGTATGCTCACTAGAGACTGACACGGGAGTGGATTTTCACTCCTGTCCCGTCCCACTCCCACAGAAAAAAATTGTGTCCCGTCCCGATCCCGGGCCAGAGTAGAAATCTAAATCCTGTCCTGTCCCACTCCTGGTGAAATTACTCCCACTCCCATCCCGCTCCTATTCAGAATGACTCCCGCTCCTGCTCCACTCCCATTCTTGTTGTTTTTGAGCGCGGGTGAAAAACTCAGAGCGGAAGTTACTATTGGTTTGCTCCCGCTCCCGTCTGCTCCCGTTAATGTTTAATCCTGTACCGTCCCAATCCCGTGATCGTTACTAATACTGACTCCTATCCCACGGGAATCCCGTGACCCGTGGGATTCCCGAAAAAATGTCAGTCTCTAATGCTCACCTCTCTACCAGCAACAACACTTAGGTGCAGGTGAGTTAGACTTAGACTAACTTTATTTTGATGCATACAGCTTTTCAACAGTGAAATGAACATTTCCATTTATAAAGTGCAGCAGTGATCAGAATGTAAACAGTGTGGGAGAAAAGGAAAACCAGTTCCTATATAAGGAATGAGTTTTATATGGAAACATGAAATTTTAAGACATCTGCCAGGAGGTTCCGTTTTATAGACACTTTGTGCATCTCAATAAAATTTGCCTAAGTCTAAGGAGGATAATCAAAAAACTTTATTTTCTCAGCTGTTATTGTCATTCCACCGTCACAAGTAAAGAGCAATGAAATTCCCTCATTCATTGGGAAGCACTGGGCTGCCATGGTGCGGCGCCCAGGGAGCAGCGTGGGCCTCAGGGTCCCAGAGGGGCAGTCTGTGGGGATCGAACTCACAACCTCAGGATTCAATGCTTTATACTCTAAACACTAGGCTGCCACTCCCCTAAGACTATGCCCCTCACAAGATGGCGCACGGGCTGACGTATCCCGTATTACCGGAGGGCTTTTACTTTGAAGAGCACTTACCGGAAACGTGTTTGTTTCTGAGCGCGTGTGATCGGCTCGTGCAGCAGTTATTCAATGCTCAGCGGTCTGCTGGTTTTTATTAAGCAGACCTCCTGTCGGTCTGTAGCGGAACAGCGACGCTTTGAAGAACTTTATTATAACTGTTTCCAGTTTTTTGTAATGTAGTGCGCGGCAGCTGTCGCTAAGCTCTGCCGTAAAGCAGGCCGTCAGCACATAAATGAGCTGAGCTGGTGAGTCATAGAGGCTAAATGTGAAAGTCAGCCGCGTGCTTTGCTAATAAATTTTTTAAAAAGCAGTTAAATAGTGACGCGCATCAGAGGAGGTCTGCTTCTACAGACTGGTTCATTAGTAACAGACCTCCTGGGCAAGGTCAGTCATTAGCTAACCGCTCTGATTGATCAGCTCCTGGTGTTCAGCAGGAAGTCGTCATCAGTCTGGGAGCAGATGTTACTGAAATAACTGCTGCCTGTTTGGCGGCTTCACACCGAAGGGACGAGATCTTCAGGTTTTTTCCTCCGACCAGCCCAGGATGCTTTCAGTCTGCTGGGTGGGGCCGACAGAGACCGGAGCCTAACCGAGCAGACCGCAGCATGGCCAAGACCGAGGAGGTCAGCAGGGAGGGGGGGCTGAAGCAGACCTCCAGGGACGGTCTGCACCGGAGAAACGCCGAGTCCGAAGTCTACGACGACGGGACCAACACCTTCTTCTGGTGAGTGGAGGCGCGTGGATGCGGTCACTGGTGGAAACATGAAGGTTGTGTGAAAGTCAGAGGCAGCCTTTGAAGTTACCGCTGATTAATGAGCCACGTGACTCTGAGGAATAATCAGGATCATTGATTTTCCTCCAAACTCAGCAGAGCTAAGCAGTGACGTTAACATCAGATGGTGAAGCTGCGTGTTCTGCGTGGGCTGCGTGGGCTTGGAGCAGATCTGGAAATGTGACATTCCCTCCCTGCAGTCAATCTGAACAGCTTCCGGTTGTTTCAAAGGATAAATCTTTATTTCTGCCTTAATATCAGTTTTAAATTCAATTCTTTATCTCTAGATGTGATTAAAAGCAAAGCAGCGATGCTGTAAATGTTGCTTTCTAGTCTTTATTTTTGTAATTCTCTGATCTTATGGTTCAGTTTTTATTTCAGCAGTGTTTGGGTCGGTGGTTGCCATGGATACAGATCCCCCATTATTTCAGCTTCTCTGCAGCAGATATTATTACAGGTTTATAGATATATGTCGAACTAGACATAGAAGTGGAAGGAGGTCTATTAGGTGCTGCAGACTGATCTATGCTGCCGTCATCCTTTATGTCGCTTCAAGGTTTTTAAATCAAATTCTTTCTAACGGATCCAGTTAGTTGAATATCTGGTTTTAAGGAGGAGGATTATGGAAGAAAGTGTTAAATTTCTATATGTGCGGTTTGACTGGAGAGTTTCCCACAGTGAGACATGGTGGTGGCTGCGTCATACTGTGGGGATGGTCTTCTAAAGCTGGTCGAAGCTGAGTAGAAGGACGTAGCCTCGTTAACCTTTAAAGCAAACATGTTGCAGTTATTTCGTCCTCCATGTTGATCCGTCACATTAAATAAAGCTTTGAATACTTCTGCAAGGCGTCTTTGATGTTACCAGTTTACCCAGTAAGACGTCTAAAATACTTCCATGTCGCACAACAGCTTCAAGTCATGGAGAATCAATCCCATAATGCATCAGCAGCAATGATGTCGTCTCAGAGTCACAAGCAGGTTTAATCTTAGGAGTTTGACTTGGTGTTGATGATGCAGACGAAATAGATATATATGCAGAATCTATAACTATATACGATATAAGATATACAATACACGGTATATAGCTCTATACTATATTCACAGCAGGTGGTGCGTTAATGTAAGGCAGGAGGTCTGGAGATGCTACGCTGCTGTAGCTTCTAGGTCCTGAGTGGGGGGGGGGGGGGGAGGGGCAGGGTGGCGGGGGGTCTCTGGGCCTGGTTGATCAGGCTGGTAGAACTGGAGGTTCTGGTCCTGATGGGGTGCAGCCTCCTGCCAGAGGGAAGGGACTGGAATGGTTTGTGGGGGGGGGGGGGGGGGGGGGGGGGGGGGGGGGGGGGTTCCCTGCAGGCCTCAGAGTCCTGGAGGCGTACACATCCTGGAGAGATGGAAGACTGCAGCCAATCACCTTCTCTGCCTATTGGCCGGGTCATTTCAGGCCGTCACATTCTATGTTCCCTGGATCTTCATCAAAACGGGTCATTCTGAGTCTGAAGAGAAATCTGATATCAGAGATTTCCTCAGATGCATTCAAGGAGTTTCATCTCCTGCTAGTTTAGTCCCAACAGCTTTTCAGCCAACCTAACTTATAGGAGCCAATATGTACCGAGTCTATATGTGACAGGAAATGATGCGCGTTTTACCGGGAAACGCAAAACGGTTTGATCGTTTGGCTGTGAAACACGGTCAGCCCACAGCTGGTCGTTTGCATCCGTTTGGCTTTATAAGCAAACAAAACTGCAAGAACAGCGGCTGGACATTTCCTGTTACCAGGCTGGACATTTCCCGTTTGGCAGGCTGGACATTTCCCGTTTGGCAGGCTGGACATTTCCCGTTTGGCAGGCTGGACATTTCCCGTTTGGCAGGCTGGACATTTCCCGTTTGGCAGGCTGGACATTTCCCGTTTGGCAGGCTGGACATTTCCCGTTTGGCAGGCTGGACATTTCCCGTTTGGCAGGCTGGACATTTCCCGTTTGGCAGGCTGGACATTTCCCGTTTGGCAGGCTGGACATTTCCCGTTTGGCAGGCTGGACATTTCCCGTTTGGCAGGCTGGACATTTCCCGTTTGGCAGGCTGGACATTTCCCGTTTGGCAGGCTGGACATTTCCCGTTACCAGGCTGGACATTTCCCGTTTGGCAGGCTGGACATTTCCCGTTTGGCAGGCTGGACATTTCCCGTTAACCGTCTCTCCCCAGGAAGACGCGGCGGTGTAAAACCCTGCAGAGGCTTTAAGCCTGGTTTTAGCTCCTTTAAGGGTTTTTAATTTCATTTGGAGAAGAGAGCAGAACCAGAGCAGAGATCTTCTGATTCTCAGCATCCGACCATGAAGAGTTTATTCTAACAAGCAGCTTTAAGCTCACTGAGCTGCTTCATCCTCCAATCTCAGCCTCCCTCTGGGCTGCGGGGGGGTCGCTACGTCTCCTGCCTGGTTTCTCACCTCCAGCGTCGCTATGGGGGAGTCGGCCTGGAGACAAACACCTCCCTCCCTCCCCTCCTCCTCCTGCTGAACAGGTTGGATGGGAGGTGGAACCAGGAGAAATGCTCTCTAGACTCAGGCGTGGCAGAGAGGCTGATGGAACAGCAGCAGCAGAATTCACTTCTAGACACGGAGCAGCTGATTGGAGATAAAATGGTGATGATGATGATGAAAGAGGAAGATTTTATCACAGCGTCTGTTGGAAGGAACCTTTGGCTGCTGAAGTTTAGCCCTAAACATCATCACTGTTTATCCTAAAAGACTGAATCCTCTCACTGCCTTCATCCTTCTTCATTTCTTCATGCAGTCGGTTAATAACTATTAAAGGCTTTAATAGTAGAAAAACATGGCCGCTTTAATTTAAAGCATGTTTTATTTTCTGATTATCAGAGTTTAAGCCAGAACTGAGAATAACTGCTAAAAATAAAGTTGTTTGTTCTCACGCAGCAGCAGAGGCTAAAGGTCACATCCTATAAATGTCACGTCTCCTGCAACAGGTTAGGGTTTGTATTCACACTAAACAATTCACAGTGAAACTCAATTCTATTCAGCCTATTTCTATACCTCCAGTTCTCATCATGTCATCTCAGGTCACTTTCCAGTTCACCAGATCATCCAGTCAGATTGATTCAAAGTTTTCCATCTAAGGAAAACCAGCTGATTGCATCGACTCATTGACTCTTCAGCAATCCCTCACACTAAGCATGCTTGTAGCGACAGTGGAGAGGAAAAACTCCCTTTGAACAGGAAGAAACCTCCAGCAGAACCAGGCTCAGGGTGAAATTATTCTACAATCTATTGCTGCATAGCTTCTTTCTCATTTTCATTATAATTTCTTATTATATCAAAGCTGAAATTTGTAAAACAGAAAACAATCAACATCACGACAGAAAGCGCATTTTATTTTAATATCATGAAACAAGAAAAAACGTTTATCTTTATAGAAAAAGCAAATTTAACTGACATGTTTTATGATGCGATTTGGAGGGAAGAACCACAGAGAAAAGATCATATGGGATGATGGATGGATGATGGATGGATGGATGGATGGATGATGGGTGGATGGATGATGGATGGATGGATGGATGGGTGGATGATGGGTTGATGGATGGATGGATGATGGATGGATGGATGATGGATGGATGGATGGATGATGGATGGATGGATGGAGGATGGATGGATGATGGGTGGATGATGGATGGATGGATGATGGATGGATGGGTGGATGATGGATGGATGGATGGATGGATGGATGGATGGATGATGGGTGGATGCTGGATGGATGGATGATGGGTGGATGATGGATGGGTGGATGATGGATGGATGGATGGATGGATGGATGGAGGATGGATGGATGATGGGTGGATGGATGATGGCTGGATGGATGGATGATGGATGGATGGATGGAGGATGGAAGGATGGATGGATGATGGGTGGATGATGGATGGATGGATGATGGATGGATGGGTGGATGATGGATGGATGGATGGATGGATGGATGGATGGATGATGGGTGGATGCTGGATGGATGGATGATGGGTGGATGATGGATGGGTGGATGATGGATGGATGGATGGATGGATGGATGGAGGATGGATGGATGATGGGTGGATGGATGATGGCTGGATGGATGGATGGAGGATGGATGGATGGATGATGGATGGATGGATGGATGAATGGATGGATGATGGATGGATGGATGGAGGATGGATGGATGGATGATTGATGGATGATGGATGGATGGATGGATGGAGGATGGATGGATGGATGATGGATGAATGGATGAATGGATGGAGGATGGATGGATGGATGGATGGATGATGGATAGATGATGGATGGATGATGGATGGATGGATGGATGGATGAACGGATGATGGATGGAGGATGGCTGGATGGATGATGGATGGCTGAACGGATGATGGATGGATGGATGATGGATGGATGGATGGATGGATGATGGATGGATGGATGATGGACGGATGGATGGATTATGGATGGATGGATGGAGGATGGAAGGATGGATGGATGATGGGTGGATGGATGGATGGATGATGGATGGATGGATGATGGATGGATGGATGGATGATGGATGGATGGATGGAGGATGGAAGGATGGATGGATGATGGGTGGATGATGGATGGATGGATGATGGATGGATGGGTGGATGATGGATGGATGGATGGATGGATGGATGGATGGATGATGGGTGGATGCTGGATGGATGGATGATGGGTGGATGATGGATGGGTGGATGATGGATGGATGGATGGATGGATGGATGGAGGATGGATGGATGATGGGTGGATGGATGATGGCTGGATGGATGGATGGAGGATGGATGGATGGATGATGGATGGATGGATGGATGAATGGATGGATGATGGATGGATGGATGGAGGATGGATGGATGGATGATTGATGGATGATGGATGGATGGATGGATGGAGGATGGATGGATGGATGAATGGATGAATGGATGGAGGATGGATGGATGGATGGATGGATGATGGATAGATGATGGATGGATGATGGATGGATGGATGGATGGATGAACGGATGATGGATGGAGGATGGCTGGATGGATGATGGATGGCTGAACGGATGATGGATGGATGGATGATGGATGGATGGATGGATGGATGATGGATGGATGGATGATGGACGGATGGATGGATTATGGATGGATGAACGGATGATGGATGGATGGATGGATGAGGGATGATGGATGGATGGATGGATGATGGATGGATGGATGATGGACGGATGGATGATGGATGGATGGATGGATGGATGATGGATGGATGATGGATGGATGGATGATGGATGGATGATGGATGGATGGATGATGGATGGATGATGGATGAATGATGGATGGCTGATGGATGGATGATGGATGGATGATGGATGGATGGATGATGGATGGATGATGGATGGCTGATGGATGGATGGATGGATGATGGATGGATGATGGATGGCTGATGGATGGATGGATGGATGGATGATGGATGGATGATGATGGATGGATGGATGATGATGGATGGATGATGGATGGATGGATGATGGGTGGATGGATGGATGATGGATGGATGATGGATTGATGGATGGATGGATGATGGGTGGATGGATGGATGGATGGATGATGGATGGATGGATGGATGATGGATGGATGATGGATGGATGGACGGATGGATGATGGATGGATGGATGGATGGATGGATGATGGATGGATGATGGATGGATGGATGATGGATGGATGATGGATGGATGATGGATGGATGGATGGATGGATGGACGGATGGATGATGGATGGATGGATGATGGATGGATGGATGATGGATGGATGGATGGATGATGGATGGATGATGGATGGATGGATGGATGGATGGATGATGGATGGATGATGGATGGATGGATGATGGATGGATGGATGGATGATGGATGGATGATGGATGGATGGATGATGGATGGATGGATGATGGATGGATGGATGGATGCATAATAAAGCATAAGAGCATATTGCTTGGAATCCAGAGATTGTGAGTTCCATCCCCACAGCCTCCACTCTGGGTCCCTGAGCCAGACCCTTAACCCCACTCTGCGCTCTGCGCCGCACCATGGCAGCCCTCTGCTCCCCAGGGGGAGGGGCTAAATGCAGAGAGGGGGTTTGGGTGCTCTAGTGCTGCCAGAGGAATGAGAATATAAATGAATAAATGGTCAGAATGAGGGTTTAGTTTCTAAACTAGTTGGACAGTTTTAACTAAACTTCCATCAGTGATTCTGACTAAACTGCGTCTGATGGAGGAAATTATTTAGCTAAATTCAAACCCGTATCTGGAAGCATCCATCCTTCTGTCCTTCCGTCCATCTGACCGTCCATCCATCTGTCCGTCCATCCTTCTGTCCTTCCGTCCATCTGTCCGTCCATCCATCTGTCCGTCCATCCATCTGTCCGTCCATCCATCTGACCGTCCATCCATCTGACCGTCCATCCATCTGTCCGTCCATCCATCTGACCGTCCATCCATCCGTCCTCAGAGTCACTCAATTCAATTCAATTCAGTTTATTTATATAGCGCCAAATTCACAACACATGTCATCTCAAGGCACTTTACAGTTCAACCAGATCATATTGATACAAAGTTTTCTATCTAAGGAAAACCAGTTGATTGCATCGACTCATTGACTCAAATACAATCCCCCACACTAAGCATGCTTGTAGCGACAGTGGAGAGGAAAAACTCCCTTTTAACAGGAAGAAACCTCCAGCAGAACCAGGCTCAGTGTGAGCGGCCATCTGCTGAGGCCGACTGGGGTTCAAGGAGACAGAAGCAGACATAGAAAAAGAAGCATAGATACAAAAGGCAACTGTCAACCAGCTCCACAGGCGGCCCCGTCCAGGAAACACACAGCCAGGCAGACGAGCTCCAAGGCAGCTCCCATGCCAGAGGACGAAGAGAGCACATCCACTCAGTCACGGTCAGAGAAACAGGACCACACTGGAAAACAGGCCGATCTCCAACATCTATTAACAAGGGTGTTGATAGAAGCAGCACAGCTGATGTTTCTTTCCAGGATGACGTCACAGCCAAACAGGAACAGACGAGGCAAAGCTACTCTGAGGAAAAGCAGAGAGAGCAGAAGGTTAGAGATTGAACTAACAGATTCTGCAGAATAGGAGAACAGAGAGAGAATGAAGCAGATACCCTCAGTGATACCCTAACATCATATTTAATAATCATCAGGAATATTTTAGCGTCCTTTGTTGGACGCTGTTCTGGCTGCAGACCTGTTTTACGTCTGCAGACCTGTTTTCCGGCTGCAGACCTGTTTTCCGGCTGCAGACCTGTTCTACCCCTCAGATATCAGCAGCTGCTCAAAGCAAACTTTGCCCTTAAATCTAATCTGTATAGATGAGTGGAACCCACAGGATGTCGGAGTGACACCAGCGCGGCGTGCTGAAGGCCAAAGTTTGGTCATCGGTGTGGATTTCTGGAGAATCTATTAATGTTTCACCATCGACAGGTGAACCTGTTCAGGCTGCTGTTCAGCAAATCAGATTTTCATTTAGACCTGCGTGGACGTTGGTGTGTTAGATTAAACCAAGAGGCTCCTAGCAGGATGGATTATAGTCAGATTCCTCTTGAACTTTTCCAGCTGTTCTTCTGTGGGTTACGTCCTACTTTGTAGATCTAGATTCTACGGGTTTTTTGCTGCAAAGATGGCGGCTCCTTCATTCCTTGTCCTGGTTTCTATCAGAGAGCCACGGACCCCTGCAGCTCCTACAGAGCTACCAGAGACCTCCTGGCTTGGTTCTAGAGTCTGCCTTTATAGATGTGCTCTTCTATCATCTGGTTCATTGATGGAGATGTTATCTCTCCAAATCATGGGATGTTGTTCTATAAGCTAGCTCTGCTGTAACCTTCCTCCTGACCCTTCTGACGCCATCTTTGATCTCCACCATCATTCATCAGTTCATTGTTTAATGAGCAGGTCTGTGCTGGTGGTCTGCCACATGAAGCAGACTGAATGACCATGAAAGCTGCTTAGAATGAGTGAAAAAGACTGATTTATTCCACAGTGATGATCTACTGAGGTTTTTAATTTACCGTTTGAATGTGTTTAAGCATAAAGATGAAAAGCCGCTAATCTCCCTCTGCTCCCGCAGGCGAGCCCACACCCTGAGCGTGCTCTTCATCCTGACCTGCGCCCTGGTCTACGTCACGCTGCTGGAGGAGACGCCTCAGGACACCGCCTACAACACTAAGAGGTCAGTGTGCCGCCAGGGTCGCCGTGCCGCCGCCGGGGTCGCGGTGCCGCCGCCGTAGATCTTTTACTCTACGACAGCTTCTGCAGGACGTTCCATGTCAGGATGTTTTAGCTTCTTTATTTTTGCTTTTGTCTGCTATGAAGGGAGGAGGGCTCACTCTAAGAAGGTAGATCTATAGTGATGTTTGCTGATGCGTCTAAAAGATTGAATAAAGGCTCTTAATGGGATTTGCTGCAGTCAGCACAGTCCAGCTCAACGGGATAAAGATCCCAGCACCCCCCTGCCCCCCCACTCACACTCCCACACACACAGTCGTGTTTGCATGACTTATGGGGACATTTCATAGACTTCCATTCATTAATAGGGCCTAGCCCCGACCCTGGGCCGAGCCCCGACTCAAAGAGAACTTTACAGAGAGAATCCTGGTCCCCATAAGGACCTAGGTCCCCATGGCGTGACTGTGAACGGGGGTGGTAGGCGTGGGCTGCAGGAGTATGCCCATCGATCTAAGGGTTGTCAGTTCAAACCCCGGCTCCAGCTTTCAGTGCTGTTGTGTCCTTGGGCAAGACACTTGACCTGCATTACCTACTGATGGTGGCCAGATGGTGGCGCCAGCGTACGGCAGCCTGGTTTCAGTCAGGCCAGCTGTAGCTGCTATGTAGCTCACCACCATCAGTGTGTGAGTGAATGTAAAGCGCTTTGCTAAAGTCCTCTGCCATCTGACGCTTTATAAGAACAAGACCAGATCCACTGGTGACCAGATCCACTGGTGACCAGATCCACTGGTGACCAGATCCACTGGTGACCAGATCCACTGGTGACCAGATCCACTGGTGACCAGATCCACTGGTGACCAGATCAGGCTTTTCCTTTCAGTCTGGCTCGTTATCCCTACCTTCTCTATTTATCCTGCTAGTTCAGACGGTATGGCCCCTCCCTCATTATTGTCCCATTTAAACTCCTTCAGCATAGCTTGATGTTGCTATATAATTTATATAATAGAACAAGCTCTGATTATCCTTCACTCCTGGTGAACTTTCACCATCAGGCACTAAAAGAATTCACATCATTTGAAGCTTTTTAGATGTCAGACTGTTAGAAAAAGGTGAAAATGATCAGGCAGCTTTGGGAGAGACGCGACTGACTGATCGGTGCTTGTTGTTTCAGGGGCATCGTGGCCAGCATCCTGGTGTTCCTCTGTTTCGGAGTAACGCAGGCTAAGGATGGACCCTTCACCAGACCCCATCCAGGTAAAACACACTTCCTCAGGTGATCGAACCCTCGTGATCCACATCAGGTCTCTGACCTCATTCTTTGGCTTTTTATCCTCATTGCCTCAAGGCCACACACACACACACACACACACACACACACACACACCATACCGCCTTCTCTGCTCTGATTGGTCAGAGGAGTTGGCCTGATGAGTTGGCTCCTCCCATTAGCAGCTTTTCAAAATAAGAAGTTGCAGATAGAATTTGCTACCAGCTCAGTAAAACATAGAGTTTTGATAATAGATTTACTATGACGGTTAGATAGTTGATAAAATACATCAAAGATAGATTTAGGTGATGTTTTGTTGTTTACCGAAAGATCATGAATATATTAAACAACTAGAACTGGAAGTAAATGAATAATCATTTAAATTAAGTCTAAATAATGAATTATAATCAGTAGAATCATTTTATGTGTAATTTGCCGACTGACCGGGTTTTACATTAAGGGTTGGACTCCACCGTCCGGCTGTCTTTATTAATAATTATATTAATTACCAACCAAATAAATGTCTCTGTTCATTGGGGGGGGGGCATCTTGTTTCCCGCCTCCTAAAGAGTCTGAAATCCAATCAGGGCCTCAAGCAGCAGCTCTGCGAACAACATGATCAGAGAGACATTCATTAGATTTTTATTTTACACTATTTGTTATTTTAGGGTGAAGGAGAAAAATATTCCTGTGAGTTTAAAGCTCAGCCTGTAGAGAAGCTGCAGGTAAACATGGCTGCTCTGCCTGGATATCCGCCACGCTCCTTTAACGCACAGATCAGTTATATCTAGAAAAATAAATCTATTCCTGCCATATAATCACGCATACCGGCTTATATTCCCATATTCTGGTGTTTTATAGAGTTATTTATCTGCATAGGGCCGTTATAATGCTGTGACTCTATTCCATCATAAATGGTTGAAGCTGCAGTCGGTCGTCAGCCTGACGGATCCGGCCGCCTCTTTAACGCCACAGGGAAGGAAGGCGTGGAAAGAAAACAAGCAGGTTGGAGGAGCAGAGGCGACGCCTCAGACGTGTTTGTTGTTGCTCTGCTTGTTGTCAGGTTACAGTTGGAGCTCCTGTGATTTACTGTGAACAAACAGACACACTCCCTGACCTGTTGAGCGAGTCCAGTCACTTCTGTTGCTCTGCGCTGCAGGTTCCTCCGTAGATGAACTCAGACCTGTTACTGAACAACTGAGCAATAAAGGAAATGAATCTCTACAGATCAGATCAGAAATGATGTTTTTTTGCAGAGCTTTGATCTGTTTACCTGATTTTAAACTCTCTTCATGGTTGCTGCTCTCAGCTGATCGTTGCTTATAAATTAATTAGTTCACTGAACAGAACAGTTTATGTAAAACCAGTTGAATTATTCTAAATCTGAAAGCCTCTAGAATCTGAGATGAGCTTCACTATCATCTCCAAATATTCAGCCTCCAGGAATCAGGCTGTATTTGTAATATCATTTAAAAAAAAGAAATGCAGGTTCCACATTATGCAAACACTGTTTTTGGTCTCGATGCATTTAGCAATGTTCCCTCCAGGCCTGTAGGTGGCGGTCAAACACTCTGAATGGTGTAGATCTGTCCCATAGACACCAGTCTCACTCACATTTTATGCTTTTATAGAAACCTTTAAAATCCAGTTTAAGGTTTAAAACTAAGGAATAAAACTTTGATGACAGATTATCCATCTTTCTGTAAACGGTCCTGCTTCCTTTACCTCTAATGTTCCCCCTTTGGGACACCATCCACACCTGGGATCCTTTACCATTCAGATCTAGGTCACACTGTCGGTGCATCTCTAGTTAGATTAGATCTAAGATAATGAGCTCATCACAGATGAAGGTCCAAATGGTTGAACCTGCAGAATCGGGATCTGATCCATTGTGTGTGTTTCTCTCCAGCTTACTGGCGTTTCTGGCTGTGTGTTAGCGTCGCCTACGAACTCTTCCTCATCTTCATCCTGTTTCAGGTATGGATCCAATTCTATAAAAGCTTTTCTATCTAGACATTGATCCTGACTCTAAATCAGCAGAACTCTGCTCCACTGGGCCGATTTCCCCCACGGGGCCGATTTCCCCCACTGAGCCGATTTCCCCCACGGGGCCCGATTTCCCCCACTGGGGCCGATTTCCCCCACTGGGGCCGATTTCCCCCACTGGGGCCGATTTCCCCCACTGGGCTGTTCTAATAGAATCATCATTTTAAATTTTTAGGGAAATCATATTTAAATGTCAAATCATTCTGGCTTAAACATTTGTATTAATGTACTTTTTATCAGACCATATTGTCCCAAATCCTGTCTTAAAATCTGTTTTTTTTTTTTTTCCGTTATCTTCTGCAGGCCAGTTAGTTCTACATCAGCCTGAACACCTAAATTCAGCCAATCATATATCAACGGTCATCTGTCAATCAAATGTTTTCGGTCATAGCATCTTGATTCATATGTCGCAGCTAATACAGGTGCTGGTCATAAAATTAGAATATCATGAAAAAGTAGATTGATTTCAGTAATTCCATTTAAAAAGTGAAACTTGTATATTATATTCATACATTACATACAAACTCATATATTTCAGATGTTTATTTTGTTTAATTTTGATGATTACAAATGACAACAAATGAAAATCTCAAATTCATCATATCAGAAAATTAGAATATTACTGAAGACCAATAAAAACAAAGGATTTATAGAAATGTTGGCCAACTGAAAAGTATGAACATGAAAAGTATGAGCATGTACAGCACTCAGTATTTAGTCGGGCCTCCTTTGGCCTGTATTACTGCAGCAATGCGGCGTGGCATGGAGTCGATCAGTCTGTGGCACTGCTCAGGTGTTATGATAGCCCAGGTTGCTCTAATAGTGGCTTTTAGCTCTTCTGAATTGTTGGGTCTGGTGTATTGCATCTTCTTCTTCACAATACCCCATAGATTTTCTATGGGGTTAAGGTCAGGAGAGTTTGCTGGCCAATTAAGAACAGGGATACCATGGTCCTTCAACCAGGTACTGGTAGCTTTGGCACTGTGTGCAGGTGCCAAGTCCTGTTGGAAAATGAAATCTGCATCTCCAAAACGTTGGTCAGCTGCAGGAAGCATGAAGTGCTCTAAAACTTCCTGGTATGTGGCTGCGTTGACCCTGGACCTCAGAAAACACAATGGACCAACACCAGCAGATGACATGGCACCCCAAACCATCACTGACTGTGGAAACTTTACACTGGACTTCAAGCAACGTGGATGAAGTGCCTCTCTTCTTTTCCTCCAGACTCTGGGCCCTTGATTTCCAAAGGAAATGCAAAATTTACTTTCATCAGAGAACATGACTTTGGACCACTCACCAGCAGTCCAGTCCTGTTTCTCTTTAGCCCAGGCAAGACGCTTCTGACGCTGTCTGTGGTTCAAGAGTGGCTTGACACAAGGAATGCGACAGCAGAAACCCATGTCTTTCATACGTCTGTGTGTGGTGGTTCTTGAAGCACTCACTCCAGCTGCAGTCCACTCTTTGTGAATCTCCCCCACATTTTTGAATGGGTTTTGTTTCACAATCCTCTCCAGGGTGCGGTTATCTCTCTTGCTTGTACACTTTTTTCGACCACATCTTTTCCTTCCCTTCGCCTCTCTATTAATGTGCTTGGACACTGAGCTCTGTGAACAGCCAGCCTCTTTAGCGATGACCTTTTGTGTCTTGCCCTCCTTGTGCAAGGTGTCGATGGTCGTCTTTTGGACAACTGTCAAGTCAGCAGTCTTCCCCATGATTGTGTAGCCTATAGAACTAGACTGAAAGACCATTTAAAGGCTTTTGCAGGTGGTTTGAGTTAATTAGCTGATTAGAGTGTGGCACCAGGGGCCATCAATTTTGAACCTTTTCACAATATTCTAATTTTCTGATATGATGAATTTGAGATTTTCATTTGTTGTCATTTGTAATCATCAAAATTAAACAAAATAAACATCTGAAATATATGAGTTTGTATGTAATGTATGAATATAATATACAAGTTTCACTTTTTAAATGGAATTACTGAAATCAATCTACTTTTTCATGATATTCTAATTTTATGACCAGCACCTGTATACGCAACGGTTGAAACCAGAATCCTTTCCTTTCCCATTGAGTTGCGTCCCAGTGTTCACGGGGATGGACGTCTGTGTCTTCGGCAGGCGTAGAGCTAACAGAACTGGCAGCGTTGCGAGGCAAGGGCTCAAACATGTACGGCTGGAAGCCTTCTACACCAAACCAAGCTTCTGCCGCCCTGGCGTCCTCTTCCACAACATCTTCGTCCCCGCTTTCCTCCTCTAAATAAAAAATGGATGACGGAGGAGACTCATCCACGACCTCCGACACTAAACTCTCCTCCTCTTGCATGTTTCCGCTGTCCATAGCGTTCCTTGACAGCGTCGTTTCTAAGGCACCAATTTAGTGCTACTTGGTCCCAATGGAATTTCCCATTGGGAACCTGCTAGCGCTAAGATGCTAACTGGTTAGCAACATGCTTCCCACAAACCGGCCACAACCAGACTTAATTGTGAACCTTCTGCCACAACAATCCCGCCCCCTTGATAATCGACCAATCACATTCACCCCCTTCCCTGCGACTTTAAGGCGTTCTTAAATGCCTGTTTTTTCTGTCTCTTCCAGTTAAATTTAATTAAAAAGACAAGGATCCAGTCCGTTTAGCCCGGGTTCCAGTTTGGAGATGATTTATCAAAGTTCAAACTTGATGCAGGAACTAGAAGCTGTATTTGCATCAGAACTGATCAGGTGTTGATGAAGCCGTTCTTCTCTGAACAGACGGTTCATGATGGACGACAGTTCATGAAGTACATTGACCCCAGATTGGGGGTCCCTCTGCCTGAGCGGGATTATGGAGGGAACTGCCTCATCTACGACCCGGGGAACACTACTGACCCCTTCCACAACCTCTGGGTAAGAAAATTACCTTTTCAGCTAATTTCTCCTTCAAAGGTTTGAAATAAAACCCATTAAAGGTTAAAATGTTGAACCTTTAATGGGTTTTATTTGGATTTTATGTGATAAAATAACTTTAAATGTTGCTGAGTGATTCCAGCTTTCCTCTCTTCAACATCTAGAAACAGAATATTTGCAGCTTCATCTTTACATTGAGAGATTTAGGTCCGTACTTTGACTAGGCCATTCTGCTTTAATCTGCTCACCTCCGGCTCAGTCTGAATTGTTTAGCAGCCTCCTGTCCGTCCAGGATTGAGCCCTCAGCATGATGCTGCCATCACCGTGTTTCTCTCATAAAGACTATATTTATGGATTGCATGACTGATTTTTATTGTCTCAGTGTTTTCCAGACTGTCTTCCTGTTTACTGCAGCCTCCCTCCATGGGTCAGTCTATCAGCTGGATCCCTAACAGTCTTAGTTTCAAAGCTGTGGGACATTTTGGAAACATTAAGGGCTGAATTAAAGCCAGAAGACGCTTCCTTTGTGAAACATTGTTTGAATCCACATAGATGCTCCCAGCATGGCTCTGGGGGCGGAGCTAAAATTCAATTCAATTCAGTTTATTTATATAGCGCCAAATTCACAACACATGTCATCTCAAGGCACTTTAAAAGCTTCCTCTGATGCACTCCGCTGCTGCGGTCTCTTTATAAACAGGTTAGCTCTGTTATAAAGCTGCCTCTTGTCAGCAGAGGTTGATTTTCCTGACGATGGAGGCTATTGCTGCTGAGATCATCCCATCAGCTTTCCAGACCCTCCAATGATCCAGAGAGAAGCTAATCCTGCAGAGATGAAAACCATCTACTGCTTCTCATATGTCTGACTGTTTGTGAACTGATTTCCTCACACTATAGAAGCGTCTTTATATTCCCAGTCTCCCAGTCCATGCACAATGTGGAAATCCCTTTGTTTCCTTCTGCAGGATAAGATGGATGGCTTCGTTCCAGCTCACTTCCTGGGATGGTACATAAAGGTAAACCCTGAGAGTTTATCCAACCTCTGAGTCACACATGGAATCATTTTCTGATCCTGCTTCGTTTAAACGTTTAACCAACATGGCCGGCTAGATAATGCTCGGTTTGTCCTTCAGACTCTGGTGATTCGGGATTGGTGGATGTGTATGATCATCAGCGTCATGTTCGAGTTCCTGGAGTACAGCCTGGAACACCAGCTGCCCAACTTCTCTGAGTGCTGGTGGGACCACGTGAGTACCCCCCCCCCACACACACACACACACTAACAGAGCAGTTTGTTTAAAAATATCTTCTTTTAGCTTTAGTTAGTTTTTCACTCATCTCTATGACAACCTACAGTTAAAACGATGGAAATCATCAAATAATGAGCAGAAAATTTTCCTTCTGCTGCTAAAGATGAAAATATGTTTCTTAGGAAAATCATTCATTGGATCTGATTTTACTCCAGAAGTTTCATTATTTAGAAAAAAGGTGCCGTCCTTCACCTGATCACAGGGTAACCTTTGACCTTAACAAATACCCCCTAATTCTGGCTTTCATCAAAGCGAGACGCATCCGATCTTTCAGCCTCAGCTGTGATGCTGACTCAGCAGATGAATCCAGCCTTTTTCCGCAGCGTGTTGCTGGAGGAGTAATAAACGCTGCTTCAAGCGAACGCCTCAGAAAACATGGCCGACTTCTGCCTCGTCCTCTGAAAACGGCTCAGAAACGTTGGAAGGAGCTAAATGCTTCTCCCAGCCTGTCGCAGATCTTCCCACCATCTTGACCTCTGACCCCGCCTCTGTCATTGCACCATCAGTTTTCTGAGTTGTTGTCAAAAAATGAAGAAAAAAATGAAAACCTTTAGGTGGATCTTTTTTCTAAAATCTATTTAAAAACTGTTTTTTTCAGATGGTTTCATAGCCGCCGTCGTCATGGCCGCCATCTTAACATCCTGAATGAACTGTGATGTTCCAGGAAGAATGTCCCTCTGAGGATCCTTCTCATTCTAGGCCTCTCTATTGCACACTATAGATCTGCTAGAATAATCTAGATTCCTTCAGGCGGTGGAGGAAATGCTGCTGTGATGATGTTTGGTCTGTAATCCCACCAGTGTCTCTTTTCCTCCATCGTCATCCAGAACAGGAACGCTGACGGAATGTCGGAGTTCTGCTATTCTAAATGAAAAGGTTTAAACAAACGTCCTGATTGGGTCATTCCATCCTGACAAACGGGGATTCAGATATTCTCCTCTTTCCTTGGTGGATATTCTCAGTCATCCAATCTTTGTATCCAAGTTTAAAGACGTTTCTTTTCCAGAAAACTTTTCAATTCAAAATGTTCCAGGTTTGATAGATTGGAGGAAAACCAAAACCTTGTTAGGGCTTCGATTTTGGTCATTAAACGGCTTTGCTTTGGTCCGCTCCATAAAGCCTGGAACTAAACGCAGTTTCTGACATTTTGAACTGAAAAATCTTCCTAAATGGGAAGAGAAACGTCTTCAGACTGGGAAGCAAAGACCAGAGGATTGATTTTAACTCCTTTTTCTTTTCTTCCTTCACATTTTCAGGAATTTTGTCCAAATATTGAGTTTTCTAAGATGGAGAAAGAATCAGACCAATGAGATTAAAGTTCTGCCTTGGCCCCACCCCCAGCCTAGATCTTGGTGAATCAGAATGACAGGAGCTGTGTGTTGATCAGCTCATCTATGGACGGGATTAAAATCTGCTCTGATTTAATAATCTCACATTTAGTTTCTTCTTTCTCTCTCTTATCATCCAGTTTCCTGAATTTTAACTTTCATTCATAGTTTTTACTGAATTTAACTTCCTGTTTGGTTTTTAATCATCATCATCATCATCGTCGTCGTCGTTCACATGTTCAGCCATATTTCACCACATAAATCAATCAATTATACCAAGTGACTGACTGACTGACTGACTGGGTGACTGGCTGACTGGGTGACTGGCTGACTGACTGACTGGGTGACTGGCTGACTGGGTGACTGGGTGACTGGCTGACTGACTGACTGACTGACTGACTGGGTGACTGGCTGACTGACTGACTGGGTGACTGGCTGACTGGGTGACTGGCTGACTGACTGACTGACTGACTGGGTGACTGGCTGACTGACTGACTGGGTGACTGGCTGACTGGGTGACTGGCTGACTGGGTGACTGGGTGACTGACTGACTGGGTGACTGGCTGACTGACTGACTGGCTGACTGGGTGACTGGCTGACTGACTGACTGGGTGACTGGGTGACTGACTGACTGACTGACTGACTGGGTGACTGGCTGACTGACTGACTGGGTGACTGGCTGACTGGGTGACTGGCTGACTGGGTGACTGGCTGACTGACTGACTGGCTGACTGGGTGACTGGCTGACTGACTGACTGGGTGACTGGCTGACTGACTGACTGGGTGACTGGCTGACTGACTGACTGGGTGACTGGGTTACTGGCTGACTGGGTGACTGACTGACTGGGTGACTGGCTGACTGACTGACTGGGTGACTGGCTGACTGACTGACTGGGTGACTGGGTGACTGGCTGACTGACTGACTGGGTGACTGGCTGACTGACTGACTGGGTGACTGGGTTACTGGCTGACTGGGTGACTGGCTGACTGGGTGACTGGCTGACTGACTGACTGGGTGACTGGGTGACTGACTGACTGACTGACTGACTGGGTGACTGGCTGACTGACTGACTGGGTGACTGGCTGACTGGGTGACTGGCTGACTGGGTGACTGGCTGACTGACTGACTGACTGACTGACTGGGTGACTGGCTGACTGACTGACTGGGTGACTGGCTGACTGGGTGACTGGCTGACTGGGTGACTGACTGACTGGGTGACTGGCTGACTGACTGACTGGGTGACTGGCTGACTGACTGACTGGGTGACTGGGTTACTGGCTGACTGGGTGACTGACTGACTGGGTGACTGGCTGACTGACTGACTGGGTGACTGGCTGACTGACTGACTGGGTGACTGGGTGACTGGCTGACTGACTGACTGGGTGACTGGCTGACTGACTGACTGGGTGACTGGGTTACTGGCTGACTGGGTGACTGACTGACTGGGTGACTGACTGACTGGGTGACTGGCTGACTGGGTGACTGGCTGACTGACTGACTGGGTGACTGGCTGACTGACTGACTGACTGGGTGACTGGCTGACTGACTGACTGGGTGACTGGCTGACTGACTGACTGACTGGGTGACTGGCTGACTGACTGACTGGGTGACTGGCTGACTGGGTGACTGACTGACTGGGTGACTGGCTGACTGACTGACTGGGTGACTGGCTGACTGACTGACTGGGTGACTGGCTGACTGACTGACTGACTGGGTGACTGGCTGACTGACTGACTGGGTGACTGGCTGACTGACTGACTGACTGGGTGACTGGCTGACTGACTGACTGGGTGACTGGCTGACTGGGTGACTGACTGACTGGGTGACTGGGTGACTGGCTGACTGACTGACTGGGTGACTGGCTGACTGACTGACTGGCTGACTGGGTGACTGGCTGACTGACTGACTGGGTGACTGGCTGACTGGGTGACTGGCTGACTGACTGACTGACTGACTGACTGGGTGACTGGCTGACTGACTGACTGGGTGACTGGCTGACTGACTGACTGACTGACTGACTGGGTGACTGGCTGACTGACTGACTGGGTGACTGGCTGACTGGGTGACTGGCTGACTGGGTGACTGACTGACTGACTGACTGACTGGGTGACTGGCTGACTGACTGACTGGCTGACTGGGTGACTGGCTGACTGACTGACTGGGTGACTGGGTGACTGACTGACTGACTGACTGACTGGGTGACTGGCTGACTGACTGACTGGGTGACTGGCTGACTGGGTGACTGGCTGACTGGGTGACTGGCTGACTGACTGACTGACTGACTGACTGGGTGACTGGGTGACTGGCTGACTGGGTGACTGGCTGACTGGGTGACTGACTGACTGGGTGACTGGCTGACTGACTGACTGGGTGACTGGCTGACTGACTGACTGGGTGACTGGGTTACTGGCTGACTGGGTGACTGACTGACTGGGTGACTGGCTGACTGACTGACTGGGTGACTGGCTGACTGACTGACTGGGTGACTGGGTGACTGGCTGACTGACTGACTGGGTGACTGGCTGACTGACTGACTGGGTGACTGGGTTACTGGCTGACTGGGTGACTGACTGACTGGGTGACTGACTGACTGGGTGACTGGCTGACTGGGTGACTGGCTGACTGACTGACTGGGTGACTGGCTGACTGACTGACTGACTGGGTGACTGGCTGACTGACTGACTGGGTGACTGGCTGACTGACTGACTGACTGGGTGACTGGCTGACTGACTGACTGGGTGACTGGGTGACTGACTGACTGGGTGACTGGCTGACTGACTGACTGGGTGACTGGCTGACTGACTGACTGGGTGACTGGGTTACTGGCTGACTGGGTGACTGACTGACTGGGTGACTGACTGACTGGGTGACTGGCTGACTGGGTGACTGGCTGACTGACTGACTGGGTGACTGGCTGACTGACTGACTGGGTGACTGGCTGACTGACTGACTGGGTGACTGGGTTACTGGCTGACTGGGTGACTGGGTGACTGGCTGACTGACTGACTGGGTGACTGGCTGACTGGGTGACTGGGTGACTGGCTGACTGACTGACTGACTGACTGACTGGGTGACTGGCTGACTGACTGGGTGACTGGCTGACTGGGTGACTGGCTGACTGGGTGACTGGCTGACTGACTGACTGGGTGACTGGCTGACTGGGTGACTGGCTGACTGGGTGACTGGGTGACTGACTGACTGGGTGACTGGCTGACTGGGTGACTGACTGACTGACTGACTGGGTGACTGGCTGACTGGGTGACTGGCTGGCTGACTGGGTGACTGACTGGGTGACTGGCTGACTGGGTGACTGGCTGACTGGGTGACTGGCTGACTGGGTGACTGACTGACTGGGTGACTGGCTGACTGACTGACTGGGTGACTGGGTGACTGACTGACTGACTGACTGACTGGGTGACTGGCTGACTGACTGACTGACTGACTGACTGGGTGACTGGCTGACTGGGTGACTGACTGGGTGACTGAATGGGTGACTGGCTGACTGGGTGACTGGCTGACTGACTGACTGGGTGACTGGCTGACTGGCGGACTGGGTGACTGACTGACTGGGTGACTGGCTGACTGGGTGACTGACTGACTGGGTGACTGGCTGACTGGGTGACTGACTGACTGGGTGACTGGGTGACTGACTGACTGGGTGACTGGCTGACTGGGTGACTGGGTGACTGGCTGACTGGGTGACTGGCTGACTGGCTGACTGGGTGACTGGCTGACTGGGTGACTGGCTGACTGGGTGACTGGCTGACTGGGTGACTGGCTGACTGACTGACTGACTGACTGACTGGCTGACTGGGTGACTGACTGACTGGGTGACTGGCTGACTGACTGACTGGGTGACTGGGTGACTGACTGACTGACTGGGTGACTGGCTGACTGGGTGACTGGCTGACTGACTGACTGGGTGACTGACTGGGTGACTGGCTGACTGGGTGACTGGCTGACTGACTGACTGGGTGACTGGCTGACTGGGTGACTGGGTGACTGACTGACTGGGTGACTGACTGACTGACTGACTGACTGGGTGACTGGGTGACTGACTGACTGGGTGACTGGCTGACTGACTGACTGGGTGACTGACTGGGTGACTGGCTGACTGGGTGACTGGCTGACTGACTGACTGGGTGACTGGCTGACTGGGTGACTGGGTGACTGACTGACTGGGTGACTGACTGACTGGGTGACTGGCTGACTGGGTGACTGACTGACTGGGTGACTGGCTGACTGACTGACTGGGTGACTGGCTGACTGGGTGACTGACTGACTGGGTGACTGGCTGACTGACTGACTGGCTGACTGACTGACTGGGTGACTGGCTGACTGGGTGACTGACTGACTGACTGACTGGCTGACTGGGTGACTGGGTGACTGACTGGCTGACTGACTGACTGACTGACTGACTGACTGGGTGACTGGCTGACTGGGTGACTGACTGGGTGACTGAATGGGTGACTGGCTGACTGGGTGACTGGCTGACTGACTGACTGGGTGACTGGCTGACTGACTGACTGGGTGACTGGCTGACTGGGTGACTGGCTGACTGACTGACTGGGTGACTGGCTGACTGGGTGACTGACTGGCTGACTGGGTGACTGGGTGACTGACTGACTGACTGACTGACTGGGTGACTGGGTGACTGACTGACTGGGTGACTGGCTGACTGGGTGACTGGCTGACTGGGTGAGTGACTGACTGGGTGACTGACTGACTGACTGGGTGACTGACTGACTGACTGACTGGCTGGGTGACTGGGTGACTGGGTGACTGACTGACTGGGTGACTGGCTGACTGGGTGACTGACTGACTGGGTGACTGGGTGACTGGCTGGCTGACTGACTGACTGACTGACTGGGTGACTGGCTGACTGGGTGACTGGCTGACTGGGTGACTGACTGACTGGGTGACTGGCTGACTGGGTGACTGACTGACTGGGTGACTGGCTGGCTGACTGGGTGACTGACTGACTGACTGACTGGGTGACTGGCTGACTGGGTGACTGACTGACTGACTGACTGGGTGACTGGCTGACTGGGTGACTGGGTGACTGGCTGACTGGGTGACTGACTGACTGGCTGACTGGGTGACTGACTGGGTGACTGACTGACTGGGTGACTGGCTGACTGGGTGACTGGCTGACTGACTGACTGGGTGACTGACTGGGTGACTGGCTGACTGGGTGACTGGCTGACTGACTGACTGGGTGACTGGCTGACTGGGTGACTGGGTGACTGACTGACTGGGTGACTGACTGACTGACTGACTGACTGGGTGACTGGGTGACTGACTGACTGGGTGACTGGCTGACTGACTGACTGGGTGACTGACTGGGTGACTGGCTGACTGGGTGACTGGCTGACTGACTGACTGGGTGACTGGCTGACTGGGTGACTGGGTGACTGACTGACTGGGTGACTGACTGACTGGGTGACTGACTGACTGGGTGACTGGCTGACTGACTGACTGGGTGACTGGCTGACTGGGTGACTGACTGACTGGGTGACTGGCTGACTGACTGACTGGCTGACTGACTGACTGGGTGACTGGCTGACTGGGTGACTGACTGACTGACTGACTGGCTGACTGGGTGACTGGGTGACTGACTGGCTGACTGACTGACTGACTGACTGACTGACTGACTGGGTGACTGGCTGACTGGGTGACTGACTGGGTGACTGAATGGGTGACTGGCTGACTGGGTGACTGGCTGACTGACTGACTGGGTGACTGGCTGACTGACTGACTGGGTGACTGGCTGACTGGGTGACTGGCTGACTGACTGACTGGGTGACTGGCTGACTGGGTGACTGACTGACTGACTGGCTGACTGGGTGACTGGGTGACTGACTGACTGACTGACTGACTGGGTGACTGGGTGACTGACTGACTGGGTGACTGGCTGACTGGGTGACTGGCTGACTGGGTGAGTGACTGACTGGGTGACTGACTGACTGACTGGGTGACTGACTGACTGACTGACTGGCTGGGTGACTGGGTGACTGGGTGACTGACTGACTGGGTGACTGGCTGACTGGGTGACTGACTGACTGGGTGACTGGGTGACTGGCTGGCTGACTGACTGACTGACTGACTGGGTGACTGGCTGACTGGGTGACTGGCTGACTGGGTGACTGACTGACTGGGTGACTGGCTGACTGGGTGACTGACTGACTGGGTGACTGGCTGGCTGACTGGGTGACTGACTGACTGACTGACTGGGTGACTGGCTGACTGGGTGACTGACTGACTGACTGACTGGGTGACTGGGTGACTGGGTGACTGGCTGACTGGGTGACTGACTGACTGGCTGACTGGGTGACTGACTGGGTGACTGGCTGACTGGGTGACTGGCTGACTGGGTGACTGACTGACTGGCTGACTGGGTGACTGACTGGGTGACTGGCTGACTGGGTGACTGGGTGACTGGGTGACTGGGTGACTGACTGACTGGGTGACTGGCTGACTGGGTGACTGACTGACTGGGTGACTGGCTGGCTGACTGGGTGACTGACTGACTGACTGACTGGGTGACTGGCTGACTGGGTGACTGACTGACTGACTGACTGGGTGACTGGCTGACTGGGTGACTGGGTGACTGGCTGACTGGGTGACTGACTGACTGGCTGACTGGGTGACTGACTGGGTGACTGGCTGACTGGGTGACTGGCTGACTGGGTGACTGACTGACTGGCTGACTGGGTGACTGACTGGGTGACTGGCTGACTGGGTGACTGGGTGACTGGCTGGCTGACTGGGTGACTGACTGACTGACTGACTGACTGGGTGACTGGCTGACTGACTGACTGGGTGACTGGCTGACTGACTGACTGGGTGACTGGCTGACTGGGTGACTGACTGACTGACTGACTGGGTGACTGGGTGACTGACTGGGTGACTGGCTGACTGGGTGACTGACTGACTGGGTGACTGACTGACTGGGTGACTGGCTGACTGACTGGGTGACTGGCTGACTGGGTGACTGGCTGACTGGGTGACTGGCTGACTGGGTGACTGACTGACTGGGTGACTGGCTGACTGACTGACTGGGTGACTGACTGACTGGGTGACTGGCTGACTGGGTGACTGACTGACTGACTGACTGGCTGACTGGGTGACTGGCTGACTGACTGACTGGCTGACTGGGTGACTGACTGACTGACTGACTGACTGGGTGACTGGCTGACTGGGTGACTGGCTGACTGGGTGACTGGCTGACTGGGTGACTGGGTGACTGACTGACTGGGTGACTGGGTGACTGGCTGACTGGGTGACTGACTGACTGGGTGACTGGCTGACTGACTGACTGGCTGACTGACTGGGTGACTGGCTGACTGGGTGACTGGGTGACTGACTGACTGACTGGGTGACTGGCTGACTGACTGGGTGACTGGCTGACTGGGTGACTGGGTGACTGACTGGGTGACTGGCTGTCTGGGTGACTGGCTGACTGACTGGCTGGCTGGCTGGCTGACTGACTGACTGACTGGCTGGCTGGCTGGCTGGCTGACTGACTGGCTGGCTGACTGACTGACTGACTGGGTGACTGACTGGCTGGCTGGCTGACTGACTGGCTGGCTGACTGGCTGGCTGGCTGACTGACTGGCTGGCTGACTGACTGACTGGCTGGTTGACTGACTGACTGACTGGCTGACTGACTGACTGACTGGCTGACTGACTGACTGGCTGGCTGACTGACTGGCTGGCTGACTGACTGACTGACTGGCTGGCTGACTGGCTGGCTGACTGACTGGCTGGCTGGCTGGCTGACTGACTGGCTGGCTGACTGACTGACTGACTGGGTGACTGGCTGACTGACTGACTGGGTGACTGGCTGACTGGGTGACTGGCTGACTGGGTGACTGACTGACTGACTGGCTGGCTGGCTGGCTGGCTGGCTGGCTGGCTGACTGACTGACTGACTGACTGACTGACTGACTGACTGAGTTCATGATGGGTAGAATCTCTCCGTCTGACGGTTAACGGAGTGTCTGTTCTGTTCCAGTGGATCATGGACGTGTTGGTGTGCAACGGTTTGGGGATCTACTGCGGCATGAAGACGCTGGGCTGGTTGTCCATGAAGCCGTATCAGTGGCAGGGACTCTGGAAGATTCCCACCTATAAGTGAGCTGCTGCCTTCACTCACTATAGATGATGGAAAACATCTCTGCACACTTTCTGGACGATATTTTACTATTTCCTTTTTCCTCTTAGATTTCCAATTCAATCCTTTAAGACCATTAATCCCTAAAAATTTGAATATTTCTTCCTATTTTCCCTGTTTATCTCAACTATTGTCACATTTAGCAATGTTATCTTATTCTCCTAATATATAATCTGCAGAGGGGCTGAGATTAGTTTGTTTCAGTATAACGAGAGTCCCTGACGTGTCTCTGTACAAACTAGTGATGCTCTGATGCCATTTTTGACCCCGATACTTGATACCTGCTACGATGCCGGATACCTGATACCGATATCGGATATGATACCGGATACCGATACCTGATACTGATATTGGATACCTGATACCTGGCTGTGCATCATCAGCCGATACGGTCTGTGTGAAATCGATGTGTTTATATGAAGAACTACTTGGATGTAGAATAATCACCATCATGGCTTCAAGCTGCTGCCTTCCTTTGTTTTAGCCTTTTTCCTGCTTCATAAAGTGAATCCAGTAGAACTTTTTATTGCCTACCTGGAATGGGTGACAATAGTTGAAGAAACTTTAGGCTCTAAAATGATGTCGTTGCCATATTAGTTGGTACTCGCCGATACTGATACCAGCATTTTACTGCTGGATCGAGGCGCCGCCCAATACTGGAATCATTGTCGGTGAAACACTAGAACAAATGCCTGGAAATGATTTCACTACCAAACTCCTTCAATATAACATTTTAGAAATATTTGTCTGAAAAAAAAACACATCAAACTATTTTTATCTGGATCTAAAAGTTCAACAGATAAGGTTTTTTCCGTCCCTCCAAAGGTTCATCCTCTCATCGCCTCTATTGTTGGTAAATAACTTTAATATGTTGAAGGAATCAAAGCCATGTTTCTAAATCAGTGTAATTAACGAGCAAACTAATTAGCGTAGATCTAACGCTGACCCCCCCCCCCCATGGACACTAGTGACGCTAAACGTTGATCACACCCCATGGCGGCTCAATGCGCCTGCAGCGCCGCTCTGCGACCATCTGCTGTCTGTATGTCGGTTAAATATGCGCTCGTTATCCAGCCTCATTCTAAAAGTAAAATATAAGACAGGAAATTAGTTTTTTTTAAAGCAAAGAAAAAGAGAATAAATTCCGATAAAACTGGAATTAAAAGTTTGTTTAGTTCTGAATCTTCTTCCCTCCCAGGGGGAAGATCAAGCGGATAGCGTTCCAGTTCACCCCCTACAGCTGGGTGAAATTCGAGTGGAAGCCCGCCTCCAACCTGCGGCGCTGGCTCGCCGTGCTGGGCATCATCTTCATGGTAACCGCCATATTTACTGGCTCATCCTGGGAGGCGGCCTTCATTTGCTCATCTGTTGGGTTTTTCTGGCCGTAGTTCCTGCTGGCCGAGCTGAACACCTTCTACCTGAAGTTTGTGCTGTGGATGCCGCCTGAACACTACCTGGTGCTGCTCCGCCTCGTCTTCTTTGTGAATGTGGGGGGCGTAGCCATGAGGGAGATCTACGACTTCATGGACGACCCGTCAGTGTTCCCTTATCATTCCCATTCGGCGCCGACCCGACCCCCGCTGACCTTCCCTCCGCTTCTCCCCACAGGAAGTTCCACAAAAAGCTGGGTCAGCAGGCGTGGCTGGTGTCCACCATAACGGTGACGGAGTTCCTCATCGTGGTCAAGTACGACCCCCACACCCTCATGCTGCCCATCCCCTTCTCCGTCATGCAGTGCTGGTTCCTGGGGATCCTCCTCATCCTCATCTGGACCCTCTGGAGGTTTTTCATCCGGTAAGAAGGAGGAACTGGATTCAGGTCTGAGTAGAAAACATTCAGGATTCTTCAAAGTTTCGGTATAAAAGGAAAGAAAATCGTTTCCGTATGAAAACAAACGTCTGATTAGATTTATAATTTATTTACATGGCGTCTGGATTAATATTTAAAGATGATCTGAGTGATTTATTGACAAAACGGCGACTTAGAAACAGATTCAGGCAAAATTACTGAAATATGAATTTTCCTTAACGGAATAGGAAAACCAAAAACATGGTTAGCCTTCATTTTCTACTCCCCCCCATGCTGAACAACACTCTGGAGTACTTTTTTGATATCTCAAATGCATCTGGAGATCTGGGAGGCTTCTTGCTGTCTGCTGACATTCAAATAATGGAGGTCTATGGCGCCCGAGGCAGAAAGGTCCATAAAAGTCCACAAAAAGGTGTCAATATTCCTCCATACTGCTCCTCCAATGTATTCCAAGTGTCCTGAGTGGGTAGCATCCAGAATTTACTCGAAACGAAGTCATTTAGAATGTTTTTAGAGCATAAACAGTAGAGTATAGGATTTCCTGAAAGCGCGTTCACGAGTCTACGGAAACCGCGGCAGACCAAACCAGATGAAAGTGCGCATTCAGCGTCTGCTCTTCCAATAATGCAAGCGTAGAAGAAGAAATGTGCTGTTTACCTGTGCAAAGAAAGAAACAACGAAAGACAAATGTCTGAGGACTTCAGTGTTGAGGAAGAGCATGAGTTCTTTGCCGAGCTGAATGCGCACTTTCATCTGGTTTGGTCTGCCGCGGTTTCCGTAGGCTCGTGAACGCGCTTTCAGGAAATCCTATACTCTACGGTTTATGCTCTAAAAACATTCTAAATGACTTCGTTTCGAGTAAATTCTGGACACTACCCACTCAGGACACTTGGAATACATTGGACGAGCAGTATGGAGGAATATTGACACGTTTTTTGTGGACTTTTATGGACCTTTCTGCCTCGGGCGCCATAGACCTCCATTATTTGAATGTCAGCAGACAGCAAGAAGCCTCCCAGATCTCCAGATGCATTTGAGATATCAAAAAAGTACTCCAGAGTGTTGTTCAGCATGGGGGTGAGTAGAAAATGAAGGCTAATCATGTTTTGGGTGTACTATTCCTTTAAATAATATTAAACACATTTTTTATTTATTTATTTATTTATCCATCTCCGCTGTGAAGCATCTATCCTAGACTTTTCTATATTTTTATTTTTTCTGCCTTTTCTATCAATGAGAATCAGAGTTTTGCTTCTTTTATTAGTTTTAATGATTATTCAGAGCAAAATAAGTTTATTATTTAAAGATCGGTGATCTTGACGGCAGACAGAAGGTCAAAGGTTATTAAAGAGTTCAAAGAATTGAAACGGCTCATTTTTTAATGTTTTTATTTAGACAGATTTCCATCCTATTCAGAAATTTAAGATCATATCTGAGGAAATGAGCAGAAACGTCGAGTGATTTTATGCCTTTCTGCTATTTTTACAGAATATTTCCAACTTAGTTTTAAACGAAATAAAGAATAATTGAGCAATAATGGGAGCGGCGGCGCCTCAAGTAATAAAAACAAAGATAAAAGACGCATATTTCACAGGAACAACCAAAGGACGTTCGATGGTTTTAAATATTCAGACCAGTTGATCCAGGTCTTAGAAATGTTTATTTTTCGACTTGGAGGAAAAAACTCAGAATATTTTTGGATTTTCTGAGTATTTATTTCTTCCATTTCTTTTTTTACTTTTCTAATTTCTGATGATATTTTTTGGTTTAGTCGTCTTTGGGAGACTTTGTTTGTCCTCCTAGACGGATTAGACGGATGTTCGGTTCCTTCTCGGATCCCTCAGGTTCCACCATAGATCCTCATGTTCTCACGTCTGGATCAACTCTCTATATCCATCTCCATCCGTCCCTCCATCTCCTCCATCCGTCCCTGCATCTCCTCCATCCGTCCCTGCATCTCCTCCATCCGTCCCTGCATCTCCTCCATCCGTCCCTCCATCTCCTCCATCTGTCCCTCCATCTCCTCCATCCGTCCCTCCATCTCCTCCATCCGTCCCTGCATCTCCTCCATCCGTCCCTCCATCTCCTCCATCCGTCCCTGCATCTCCTCCATCCGTCCCTGCATCTCCTCCATCCGTCTCTCCATCTCCTCCATCCGTCCCTCCATCTCCTCCATCCGTCCCTGCATCTCCTCCATCCGTCCCTCCATCTCCTCCATCCGTCCCTGCATCTCCTCCATCCGTCCCTCCATCTCCTCCATCCGTCCCTGCATCTCCTCCATCCGTCCCTCCATCTCCTCCATCCGTCCCTGCATCTCCTCCATCCGTCCCTGCATCTCCTCCATCCGTCCCTGCATCTCCTCCATCCGTCCCTGCATCTCCTCCATCCGTCCCTCCATCTCCTCCATCCGTCCCTGCATCTCCTCCATCCGTCCCTCCATCTCCTCCATCCGTCCCTGCATCTCCTCCATCCGTCCCTCCATCTCCTCCATCCGTCCCTCCATCTCCTCCATCCGTCCCTCCATCTCCTCCATCCGTCCCTCCATCTCCTACATCCGTCCCTCCATCTCCTCCATCTGTCCCTCCATCTCCTCCATCCGTCCCTCCATCTCCTCCATCCGTCCCTCCATCTCCTCCATCCGTCCCTGCATCTCCTCCATCCGTCCCTGCATCTCCTCCATCCGTCCCTGCATCTCCTCCATCCGTCCCTCCATCTCCTCCATCTGTCCCTCCATCTCCTCCATCCGTCCCTCCATCTCCTCCATCCGTCCCTGCATCTCCTCCATCCGTCCCTCCATCTCCTCCATCCGTCCCTGCATCTCCTCCATCCGTCCCTCCATCTCCTCCATCCGTCCCTCCATCTCCTCCATCCGTCCCTCCATCTCCTCCATCCGTCCCTGCATCTCCTCCATCCGTCCCTCCATCTCCTCCATCTGTCCCTCCATCTCCTCCATCCGTCCCTCCATCTCCTCCATCCGTCCCTCCATCTCCTCCATCCGTCCCTCCATCTCCTACATCCGTCCCTGCATCTCCTCCATCCGTCCCTGCATCTCCTCCATCCGTCCCTCCATCTCCTCCATCCGTCCCTGCATCTCCTCCATCCGTCCCTGCATCTCCTCCATCCGTCCCTCCATCTCCTCCATCCGTCCCTCCATCTCCTCCATCCGTCCCTGCATCTCCTCCATCCGTCCCTCCATCTCCTCCATCCGTCCCTGCATCTCCTCCATCCGTCCCTCCATCTCCTCCATCCGTCCCTCCATCTCCTCCATCCGTCCCTGCATCTCCTCCATCCGTCTCTCCATCTCCTCCATCCGTCCCTCCATCTCCTCCATCCGTCCCTCCATCTCCTCCATCCTTGTGTTGATCTTTGCAATTTCTTTGTTTATTGTCTCAAATTGTTCTTTATTTTCTTGGCGAAACCTTTTAGTTCTTGCAGGAGCAGCTCAGTGTCGGCCATTTTTGGACGCTGCTCCTCATGGCTAGTTAGCTTCAGCCAGTTAGCTGCTAGTTGTCGCCGCTCACGCTAAGCAGCCATTGTGATGATGTCGGATCAGGAAGTCGCCTCCTTCTATGTTTGATCGAATCAAAGTCCGATTTCTGTCTCATTGAAGCTTCTAGAAGCTGCAGCATCTGGTTTCTTCTTTTCTAGCTTCAGGCTGATTTCTTTATGCTTCTTATCTTTATTACTTAAAGCTTTAATCGATTAAAGCTTTAATTGAATAAAGGTGAAATGAATCCAATAATCATTTAGTCCATTAATTTGAATTAAAGATATTTAGAGAGAGATCAGTGTCACACAGGGATATTTTTATGCATTTAAACTATTTGATTTATTTTATAGCCAATGAGAAGCGAATAGAATAGAAGGAAAATCCCTTTACTGTCCCATAATGGGGAGGTTGTGTTCCAGCAGCAAAGGTTATAGCAGCAGTGATCAAACAACCTGAACCTTAGAAAATATTAACAGAATAAGTGACTGATTTTAACTTTTTGTTTTAACTCAATCCTCTGGACTTTGTTTCCAAGACGTTTCTCATCCAGGAAACTTTTTCAGTTCAAAACGTCTGGAATAGTGTTGAGTTCCAGGTTTTATAGAGCGGACCAACAAAACATGCAAACTGGTCCAACTACTAGAGATTAGCCTGGAATACCCGATACTGGTCTATGCTTCTGAAAGGAGAGACGTTGGGATCAACAGAGTAAAGAAAATAAACAATAAAATCCTGTAAAGTGTTTTAACAAAATCAACCTGGAGAATAAATAACCGATATTCAGCTGTGGACATTTTTACAGTATTTTGAAAACATCAGAAACATCAGAGACGAGCAGAATGACAGCAGCAGGTTATTGAACTGAGGCAGAAACTTCCCTCTAATAACGCCTCCTTTCCCGTCCCTCTGTTATCGCAGTGACATCACGCTTCGCTACAAAGAGACCCGTCGGCGCCAACAGGAAGTGCCGGTGGACTGGGACCGGCAGCTGGGGAACGGCGGCCCGGCAGCGGCGGCGGCGTCGGGCCGCAGCAAACTGAACGGCAGCTCCGAAACGCTGCGACAGAGGAAGTCCTGAGAGGAAGTCCCACTGAGACCGCCGCCGGGGGGGGGGCTCTAGGTGCTACGCTAAAGCCACTTAGCTGATAGTTTTAATGGTGGTCGGTTACTAACTACAAGAATTTACCTCATTCTGCTTTTTTTCTTTGACATTCGTGAAGCGAAATAGAAAAGTTTGATTTTCCGTCTTTCTGACAAACGTTTTCAGATCAGTGAACGAAATCTGTCATTTCCATTTTTACTGCAAACACCAGAACAACGTCTGCAACATTCCCTCCTCTGAGCCGCGGATCCCCTCTCATTTAGGTTAACAAGTCCAAGTCATTTTTCATGGTTTGAAGCAGGTCCCAAGTTCACTGGACTGTTTATATGTGGAGACGATTAAAAACGATTAAAAATTTTTTTCTTTAAGTTACTTTTCAGGATGAAACTTTAAGGTTTTTTTAATTAACTAAAACCTGCTGAACGTCTCTATTCGGAAAAAAAGAAATCTACCTGTTCTAGTTCTTTACCTGGTGATTAATCAGTCTGTTGATCGTTCCGGATTATTGGTTTGATTTCTGACAATCAGCAGAAGTGAATCCAGATCGAGGCTAAAATCAGAATAATGATAAACTTATTTTTATCGTCCAGATCTGTGAGGTTTGAAATATTAATGTTCAGTTATTTACTAAATATTTCACAATTAAAACCAAACAATTTACAGCTAAATTAATTTAGATTAGTACATTTTGAATCTCTGCACTCAATAATTGATTTAATTTAACTTCAAAGGAAGGAAAACGCTTTAAAACATTTATCTCTGGTTATTTTCTGTTCATTAAGATGCTGACAAATCAGCTTCAGTCCTTCTGCTGTTTGATCGATGCTGTTAAGACTCTTATAGTAACTTGATGGTGAATGTAATTAATTAAAAACCATTTTATTGACTTTATTTCTGCCAAACACTAAACAGAAATATTCTGTAATGTTCTGATATTTTAAATAGAAACAGTGATTTTTGTCCAAAGTGATTTTTCTCTAAAATCTTAAACCAATATTCTTAAAGTTTGTATTTATGTGTTTTTCTTTCTATCCTAAATTCAATTATTGCATTTTTCTTTTGGTTTGTTTTCATTTCAGACTATTCAAAGGTTTAAACGAATCAAAAATTAAAAAACTTATTTTGTCTCAAAGAAACTGAAGATAAATTGGCTAAAATGTATAATTTGTTTTTTTTTTGTTTTGTTTTTTTCTCTCCTGGGTGTTTAAGGGTTAGTTTCTCTTTTAGCCACAGGGTGGCGCTAGATGTCGTCGTTTGAGCTCTGCAGCCATGTTTCAATGTACTTTGATTTAATGTGAACATGTTTAGGATTATAAATAAAGGAATATGATGCTGCTCCTTTTAATTTTATAAGTTTTTCAATAAAATCAATATAAAAGGAACTTTGTGTCTGCTGGATATAATAGAATGCTTAAATATCAGTGAACATGTTTAATAAAAACCTTTATCTGCTGCTAACTGTTGCCTTCAAATGTAGGCCTGTAATTGTCAATGTTTGTAGTTTCCATGGCAACAGCATTTTTTCTGATAAGGCAAACTTTTTGGATGACATTTTAAGAACGGAAAAAATAATTTCTTTGGTCTGTAGGTGAATAAAGCTTCCAACAGAGCGGCCATCTGCTGAGGCCCACTGGGGTTCAAGGAGACAGAAGCAGACATAGAAAAAGAAGCATAGATACAAAAGGCAACTGTCAACCAGCTCCACAGGCGGCCCCGTCCAGGAAACACACAGCCAGGCAGACGAGCTCCGAGCCAGCTCCCATGTCAGAGGATGAAGAGAGCACATCCAGTTAGTCACAGTCAGAGAAACAGGACTACACTGGAAAACAGGCCAAGCTCCAACATCTAGAAACAAAGGTGTTGATGGCAGCAGCACAGCTGATATTTCTCTCCAGGATGGAGTCACAGCCAAACAGGAACAGCTCAATCTTATTTATAAAGAATCCCATAAAATCATTGCTGGACGCAGTTCACCCAGAGCCATAGTTCAACAGAGCTATGGCTCTGGGTGAGTTTGGCAACTGGAATAAAAAGAAATCTAGGATTATTCTTATTCTCCTCTATTAATGAGGAGAAGTATGCTGCTCTTGCTTTACAAAGGGTCCTCTTATACAGCAGTAAACTATATTTCCAGACTAGGAAGGACTCCCGCAGGCCTGTGGAGCGATATTTTCTCTCCAGTTTCCTAGCATTTTGCTTCAAAGTACGCAGCTCTGCATTAAACCAAGGAGCAAGCTTTCTATTTTTAACGGTTTTCATTTTCAAAGGAGCTGCATTGTCTAAGGCAATACGCAGAGAACTAGCAACCCCATCAACAAAATCATCAACCTGTGAAGGGGAATAAGCTATGCTTTTGCACTCTGCAGCACTGCTCAGCGACACAGAGGAGAGAGAAAGTGAAGCAGATTATTTAAAATGTATAACTGCACTATCTGATAAAGATCTGCTTAAAGTCGTAGGGAAGTCATATTTAAATTTCAAATCATTCTGGATTAAACATCTATATAAATGTAGTCTTTATTGGACCATATTGTCCCAAAAGTTAGAAAATTGTCTTTTTTTCCATTATCTTATGCAGCCCAGTTAGTTTTTGCAGCCTGAACACCTAAATTCGACCAATCATATATCAACGGTCGTCTGTCAATCACACGACCATTGATGCTATGACCATTTTGGTCCATGGTTAGCAAGAGGCTTCCGACAAACCGGCCACAACCAAACTTGCTTGCGAAGCTTTCGCCACAACAATCCTGCCCCCTTGATAAACGACCAATCACATTCACTTTATTCACTCGTGTGAAGTTGTGCACCACTCAGGTGAATTCGGAAATGCAACTGTTGGAACCGCCGCTTCCCTACGACTTTAAGCGAAACCTTCTTTTGGGGGAGGAGAACTCTGATAAAGTAATCCTGAAGGTTATTAAAGTGGTCAGAGAGGACAGGGTTGGGAGGAAATACTGTCCTTTAAAGTCAGATATTATTACCCGAACCCTGATAACCCCAAAGTATGAAGATGAGAATGTTGGGACTATTCACATTTTTAACCAACCAAGATAGCATTAAAGGCTGCTCTTAAGCTATCGCCTTCAATGTCGGCATGGATGTTAAAATCTCCCACTATGATGACCCTGTCAGTATTTAATACCAAATCAGAAAGGAACTCTGAAAACTCATCTAAACATTCAGAGTAAGGACCTGGTGGACGATACAAAGTTACAAAAAGAAGAGGTTTTCTTGCCTTGAAATTTGGATGAGGGAAATTTAGGGTTAAATGTTCAAAAGAGTTGTAGATATTAACTACCTTTGGAGTAATCAATAATTCAGACTGAAGGATTAAAATATTGTTGTGTTAGGATTTTATATTATATGCTCATCCGGTTTAGATGCCATATTAATGTTGTGAATTTATATTCTATTCAATTCCAAGATAGCTAGGTATTTATATTTCTGATACTTTACGACTGTTGTTGCCCTCCCTGGTGGTGGGGGGGGGTAAATATCTTATTTAATCAGATATTATTTTGGCTGTTATAAACTGTTTATGAACACACAGTCCTACTAGCTGTGTGTTAGAACTATAAATGAAGGAGTGATTCTAATCATGGTCAAACAGTTAATTCTGCACATAGATGGAATAAATTCACCACAACTTCTGTTCAAAATATGAGTTTATAAAAAATCATGCAGCTCCAAGTCAAACTCAAGTGAAACTCAACTAAACTGAACTGTACAAAGAGGAAGGGGAACATGGGTGAAAACCATATTACAGTTTAAGATGGATTTTGAGTTTGAAAACCAAAGTTTATCTGGAAGAATGTGGGATTTTATTTGCCCAAATAATGTTTTATTAAATGATTTGCTTAATCAGGAACCAATAACCTTTAGCTAAATGACTCTTTACCCTCCTTGAAATAGCTAGCAGCAAATAGACATCAGGATTCCACTAAATTACTCTTGGTCAGACTTGGTAATGGAAATGTAACGAGCATCTGAGGAACACATGAACACTAATGTTATATCAGTGTTTAAACCCTTAGTGAAATAAAGCTTCTCCAAGCTTCAGCAACAGCTCAACACACGTTTATGTATAGCATAGCATAGCAAGCAGTTCATCCTGTTAGCTTTGCCTTTACTCATCAGTAAAAACATGAAATGATCATCAAAAGACAAATAGTCTTTTCTGTCCCAATGCCAGGCCTGCAAACCTTTTTGTCCATTTCCATTTGCAGAGTTTCCATCCAGCTTGAGTTTAGTAGGAAGGCTAAACTGCAAGGCAGGTTCTCTCTGTCTCAGTTGCTCAGAGGAGGGCAGACATTCTCACCCAGTCTGGCTTTATAAGTTCTGAAACTCAACAGAAATGTGTTTCAAAAGGTCTTGTGGTGGATCGTAAGCGGACATCGCTCTCTGGCCCCGCTGAAAGGCCACTGGAATCCGACTATGACAATTCCTTCCATCGTTGTGTGTTTCTTTTATTTTTAATTTATTTTTAACCTGAGCTCAAAGGTTTTCTCATCCGCTGCTTTGTCACGTTTCTACTCATCATTCATAGAATCTGATTATAGATCTGCTGCAGTTCTTTTAATGCCGTTTCTATTAGCGATGGCTGATGGCCAGTATTAGAACAAAATCATTACAAACCAGTAAAGTTCCACTTTTATTGCTCAGAGTAAAACAAACAGCCCATTTTCTCCCCACTTATCACAACAGATTCTAAAACATTGCATAGATCAATAAAATGTAGAAAAAGAATCTTCCTTTGGTTCATAAAAGTCCTGCAGTCGAACTAACAGCAAAGAGCTGCAGTCAATCTTTAAAAAATAAAACGTAGAAAACAGTCTTAAAGCAGCAAACCTGAGCTTTTTATCAGCAAAGACGGAAAAAATGCAAAAAGTAGAACAGGAATTATTTCAACACAGATAAAAAGATATTAGAAATATAGAAGCGTCACTTTGGTTCAGCGTTAAACAGCCGAGTCAGTTTTAAAAGGCAACATGTGAGAAAATAAACATTCTAGAGTCAAAATGTGCAAAAAGTTCAGACGACCATCAGAGTTTCATCTCAAAACCAACAAACTAATGAAAATAACAGTTTAGAACGCGGCTGCTGATTGGTGCAGAGTAGCTGCCATTTTAAACCAGCCGCCATTTGGATCCGCCTCCAAAATACGACCAGTTTGAAGCCCTGTTCCGTGTCCAGTACCGCCGATGGAACCAGTTCAGTTGGATCGGACCAGTTTGAAGCCCTGTTCCGTGTCCAGTACCGCCGGTGGAACCAGTTCAGTTGGATCGGACCAGTTTGAAGCCCTGCTCCGTGTCCAGTACCGCCGGTGGAACCAGTTCAGTTGGATCGGACCAGTTTGAAGCCCTGCTCCGTGTCCAGTACCCGCCGGTGGAAACCAGTTCATCTTGATTCTCCTCAGGAAGCGCAGACAGGCGCTGCAGATCCACAGCAGGTTCAGGCCGCCGCACCACAGCGCCAGCTGGACCACCGGGTAGGTCAGCCGAGGGAAGTACATTCTCCAGTGGTTGGTGACATCACTTCCTGTTGGTAGGTGTAGGGTGTAGTCGCTCCAGTCTTTGGAGACGCCGTAGGCGGCGGAGACCGCCCCGCCCCTATGGGACCACCGGACGCTGCTGTTGGGGTTGCAGTTGTAGTCGACCCACTGAGCGGTGAAGTCTCCGAGCTGCGGGCGTTCCCGCTGCTCCACGTCAGCCGCCCGGGCGAGGGACGCCCCCTGCACAGCCGCGTACAGCCCCTCCACGCGCCTCACCTCCTTCACCCAGGGCAACGAGTTTTCGCAGTCCAGGACGATGATGAGGCGCGAGCAGAAGGCGCCGTTCTTCTCCCGCCACCACTCCAACAGCTGATCCAGACGGAGGACGTCTCCACCTGACGGACGCAAAGATCAATCATCAATCAGAACCTTTCAACCAGTTTCCGGCCGGAGCCGCCCCACCTGCCATGGCCCCCCGTCCCACCTGCCATGGCGCCCGCCCCACCTGCCATGGCCCCCGTCCCACCTGCCATGGCGCCCGACCCACCTGCCATGGCGCCCGACCCACCTGCCATGGCCCCCCGTCCCACCTGCCATTGCGCCCGTCCCACCTGCCATGGCGCCCGACCCCACCTGCCATGGCCTCCGTCCCACCTGCCATGGCGCCCGTCCCACCTGCCATGGCGCCCGACCCACCTGCCATGGCCCCCGTCCCACCTGCCATGGCGCCCGACCCACCTGCCATGGCGCCCTTCCCACCTGCCATGGCCCCCGTCCCACCTGCCATGGCTCCCGTCCCACCTGCCATGGCGCCCGTCCCACCTGCCATGGCCCCCGTCCCACCTGCCATGGCGCCCGACCCACCTGCCATGGCGCCCTTCCCACCTGCCATGGCGCCCTTCCCACCTGCCATGGCCCCCGTCCCACCTGCCATGGCCCCCGTCCCACCTGCCATGGCGCCCTTCCCACCTGCCATGGCCCCCGTCCCACCTGCCATGGCCCCCCGCCCCACCTGCCATGGCGCCCGACCCACCTGCCATGGCCCACTCTCCACTGCGGTGCGTGTGGCCGCTGTAGAAGATGACGTAGGTGTCATGGCGGGGCCCGTCTGCCGTGCGCAGCTCCAAGAAGGACCTGATCTTGGCCTGCAGGGCGTCCAGGCTCATCCCGCTCGTGGAATAGTCGCAGCCGAAGTTCTCGATCAGGTGGTGAGCGAAGAAACGCTGCACGCTCTTCAGCATCCCTGTGGAGCTCTCGTTCAGCTCGCTCACCTGGTCAGGCGGCAGCAGCAGCGGCTGACCTTCAGGACTGAAACACGCAGGCAGCCGTTAGGGGGAGGAGCTTCTGACCCGCTTCAGATAAAAACCTGAAGCTGTTCATGAAATAAAGTTAGGATTTGGTCCTTTTGGTCAGAAATGTGACTTTAGATCTTCCTCTGTAAAAAAAACACGTTTATTTTTATTTTAAATCTGTGATTCAGGAACAAATCAGAGATTCGCTTTTGGATTCTTTCAAAGTTTTAAATCTAATTCTTATTAGAGGTAATTAGAGGATTATTTAGACTCTAAATCTATGCAGACGTTGTCATGGAGATGATAGGTGTGGCTTTTTGCAGCACCTGCAGAAGTTGGTGGGGATGACCACGGCGTAACCCACGCAGGTTCCACCCAGGCTGCTGCCCAGCTCATAGAAGAGTCCGTGGAGCAGAGACTCCAGGGGGAGGAGGAGCAGAACCAGACTCATGAAGATCCCACTGGACTCCTGGAGGAGAAGCTGCCATCTAATCACCTCCGTCTGTTAAAGGTGCTTTTAACGGGAAGTCGGATCCTTACCTGCCAACTGAGGAGAGCCAGAGCTGCGGTGGAGATCAGGCTTAGGGTTACCAGGCGCACAGAGATCAGGCAGAAATGCCTCATTCCCTTGGAGGCCATGATCTTCTCCAGGCTGGAGTCCTCCGGGCCCTTAGTCCAGCTCAGCCGCTGACAGTCGCTCAGCTTGTTGTGAAATCCCCAAACTGTGATCAGAAGCACGGCGTGGCACGCGGCCCACAGCGGCGCGCAGAGCGCAAAGGCCAGAACCAGCAGGTACCGGCGCTCCGAGCGGCTGATGGAGCTGATGAAGCTGATGGAGGCCAAGGCCAAGAAGGTCACCTCCACCCCCAGCAGAGGCAGCAGAGCCAGGCGCCGCTTCAAGCCGCTGGACACCAGGAAGGACCTCCAGCGCTCAGTGACCGACAGGCCGCTGAAGTAGGAATCCAGCAGAGGGTCGCAGATGATCTGGATGAAGAAGCAGGACAAGGCGGAGGGGCTGGTGGTGCTCAGGGCCTCCATCCCCGCGCTGACCCCCAGGAAGCAGGCCAGGCAGGGCAGAGCCAGCAGAGCCTTGGTCCTCAGGGTCACCATCACCGCAGCCAGAGCCGCCAGCAGCAGCGTGACGCTCAGCGCCTCCTGGCCGAGCAGCGCGGCGCTGGAAGCCGCGAAGCCGATCAGCTGCAGCCGCTCCGCGGAGGTCAGGAAGGAGGCCCGGGGCCGGCCGGCTCCCAGCAGCCGCTCCAGCAGCGCCCGCAGGCCCCGCAGCACCGCACCGCACAGCAGCAGGTAGTCGGCCGCGCGCTCACCGCCCCGGGCGCGCGCCTCAGGGAAGCTGAGGACCCCCAACAGGAAGCCGGTGCACAGGTGGAGGAGAGCCCGGCAGAGGCGCTCCGCCCGCAGGAAGCAGAGCAGAAAAGCCGCCGCTGTGAGGACCAGCAGCCCCGCAATGAAAACCGCAAGAACCGCAGATTCCCCCCGGCGGTCATAGAGCCCCAAACAGACACCCAGCAACAGGTTGAGGCCGGACAGGTAACCCAGCCACCGGAGCGAGGAGCGCGCGCCCCGCTGCTCCTCCTGCAGGAGGAGCAGGGCCGCCTGGAGGCTCCGCAGCATCGATTCAAACTATTGAAACTTCTTTGGTTTAGATTTAAAATTTAAAAAGAAAAGAAGCAGCGAGGAGAAGTTTCTACTTTACATCAAATGTTTCATCTGATCATAAATCATAGAAACTCGATAAAAGACTAAATAAAAACATAAAAGCGGCTTTAAAACTATTAGTTTCTCTCCAAACTTCAGAGCGCCGCCATGATTGTTTCCTCACTACGGAAAGCGCAGAGGGTCAAAAATGTCTTTATGGCAGCAGCTCAGAAAGTTTTAAATTATTTTACTATTAAACTATAACAGCAAAACTTTAGAAATCTGAAATAATTGTAGAATTTATTCTGAGATGATTTATAAGGTTTCATTATTTACAAACTACACATTCAAACGAGCCGTTAATTTAATTATTAAAGAGTTCTAAGAATAACAGCTTTAAAGTTCAATTAAACCCAAAGTATATAAATGTATACTTTGGTATCATTTTGTGTTTACACTGCAAATGTAATTAGGATTAAACCTTTTTTACCTTTTGTGACGTTAAAAACATTTATGTAACGGAAGAACTGTTAATATTAAAATCTGTTTTTCTGCTAAATAAAAAAGCTCAGATGATAAATCAGCAAACAGTAACTTTCTATTTTTTCCAGTAATTCTGTTAGATTAGGATTTAAACTCTAAATGGTCTGTACTGGTATAGCGCCTTTATTCCAGTCAGGAGACTCGACCGAAGCGCTTTATATTCACTCACTGATTCGCTCCTTCCAGTTTATTCGAGTTTAGATTATTTTCAACCTGCAAAGTTTCCAGTTTTCTTGTTCTTGCTGAAAATAATCCCAAAGAATTAAAGAGTTTAATCTCATATTAGGGATTATAAAGGTTAGCTTTCTATCCTGTACTTTTAAATTGAACAGTGACTCGAATGTTATTTCCTGTTAATTTGAGCAGGTAAATGAGATAATCTGGAATCGGTGGTTTTACACTTAAAATAAGATTAAATATCGATGAAACAGGAGAATGAAGAAATTTATTTTAAATCGTCTCAGTTTAAGAAAAAATGACCCAAGATTGACTTTTTATGCAGTGATGTTGATTTATCACAAAGAGTTTTGGGAAAAAGGAAAACTGAAACTTTAAATATTTACAATTAATCACACAGAAACAAGAATAGTTTAATCATTTATAAAAGAGAAGCAGAACATGTTTGATCTCGCAGGATCGAATCGTTCAGCTTTAAAAGCATTTTATGCTTTATTGATGCAAACAGGCCTAAAACACTGGAAGACGCTTTAAAAACACAAACAACTAAATCTGTGATGATGATGATGATGGTTTTCAGCTCAGAATGATCCAGAAATGATGGAGATGAAAAAAAAAAAACACTGAATTAAATCGAAAACAAGAAAAACTTCCTTTAAGAACAAAACTTTCAGTTTTTAGGAGAAAAACCAAACAAAGCGTCTCGATGATCATCTTCCATCTTCCTGCACGTGTTGCTAAGAGACAAAATAAATATAGAATAAATGTTCATATTTGTGCAAAATCTCTTGACTCAGAGAGCAAAACGTTCAGGTTGGGATTATTCACCTTGATATTCCAGGTCAGTCAGATTAAACTCAGATGTGGAAAAAGAAAATCAAAGCAAGAAGAAGTCGAACCTTTATGACAACAACAGTTACCATCTTCTACTGCTGGTTTACTGGGAAACATCCAGATTAAAAATGGCATCTCTGCACATTTACACTGAACACTTCTAAGATTATTTTCTTCTTTTATCAGCAGGGTGGGGGTGGGGGGGGATTATTGCTGCTCCACCTTAAGTCTGCAGGAGGACGGGATCGTCCGTCTCATGGAAGCCAGGAGCAGAGCTGCTCTGATTCTCGCCGGAGTCCGAGTCGTACGGCGTGTCCGGCAGCTCCATGAAGCCCCACGCCAGCTGGTCGTCCTCCATGTCAGAGCGCAGCGCCTGCTGCGGCGCAGCGGCATCCTCCTCCTCCTCGTTGGAGTGAAAGTCCTGGGGGATGTAGAGCATCTCGGGGTAGTTGCGTGACACCAGGTCGCTGGTGGTGGCCAACGACACCTTCCTGAACGCCATGAGATGCATGTGGGAGTATTTGACGTACTTGCAGCGCTTGAAGCCCAGCGACTCCACCGCCACCCGCCAGCTGCGCATCATGAGGGCGTGGCGGTTCTGGTGGGAGGAGTCGGGGGTGATGATGAGCAGCAGGCCGTGCAGCTGCAGCAGTTCGTGGGCCTTCTTGCAGCAGATCCAGCGCTGATACGGCGAAGGGAAGTAGGAGAGGAGCAGGGAAAAGACGACAGCGTGGAACAGCTGAGCCGGCAGGGCGTCGATGGGGCTGCGGAGGTGGCGGAGGAAGGCGTCCACTGCGTCGCCCGCCAGCTGCAGCGGCTGCTGAAGCTGCAGGTTCAGAAAGTCGCATTTGTAGACGCTCTAGAAAAAAGTCAGAAGATGTTTGAGTCAGAATGGAAAGACCTCCAGGCGTTTCACTTCCTGATCAGAAGCTGAACGCCGTCGTCTGCGTGACTCATTTCTGCTGTTTTCACTCTATAAGCAGAAAAGCAAAGATCTACAGAAAACGTTCTGACCTCCACAGCAGGAACGATGTCGATTCCCACCGTCAGAAACTCATCGAACCTCAGGAACGGATTAAAGCAGCTTCCGACGTCCAGGAGGCGAATCTTCCCCAGCGGAGACACCGAGCTGTAGAAAACAACAACTAGATTCAATAAGGGTGTAGAAAACACCAACCAGATTCAGGGAGGGTGTAGAAAACACCAACCAGATTAAGGGAGGGTGTAGAAAACACCAACCAGATTCAGGGAGGGTGTAGAAAACACCAACCAGATTCAGGGAGGGTGTAGAAAACACCAACCAGATTCAGGGAGCGCGTAGAAAACACCAACTAGATTCAATAAGGGTGTAGAAAACACCAACTAGATTCAATAAGGGTGTAGAAAACACCAACTAGGTTCAATAAGGGTGTAGAAAACACCAACTAGATTCAATAAGGGTGTAGAAAACACCAACTAGATTCAATAAGGGTGTAGAAAACACCAACCAGATTCAGGGAGGATGTCGAAAACACCAACTAGATTCAAGGAGGGCGTAGAAAACACCAACTAGATTCAGGGAGGGCGTAGAAAACACCAACTAGATTCAGGGAGGGCGTAGAAAACACCAACTAGATTCAGGGAGGGCGTAGAAAACACCAACTAGATTCAATAAGGGTGTAGAAAACACCAACTAGATTCAATAAGGGTGTAGAAAACACCAACTAGATTCAGGGAGGGCGTAGAAAACACCAACCAGATTCAGGGAGGATGTCGAAAACACCAACTAGATTCAGGGAGGATGTCGAAAACACCAACCAGATTCAGGGAGGATGTCGAAAACACCAACTAGATTCAGGGAGGATGTCGAAAACACCAACTAGATTCAGGGAGGATGTCGAAAACACCAACTAGATTCAGGGAGGATGTCGAAAACACCAACTAGATTCAGGGAGGGCGTAGAAAACACCAACTAGATTCAGGGAGGATGTCGAAAACACCAACTAGATTCAGGGAGGATGTCGAAAACACCAACTAGATTCAGGGAGGATGTCGAAAACACCAACTAGATTCAGGGAGGATGTCGAAAACACCAACCAGATTCAGGGAGGATGTCGAAAACACCTACTAGATTCAGGGAGGGCGTAGAAAACACCAACCAGATTCAGGGAGGATGTCGAAAACACCAACTAGATTCAGGGAGGATGTCGAAAACACCAACTAGATTCAGGGAGGGCGTAGAAAACACCAACTAGATTCAGGGAGGGCGTAGAAAACACCAACTAGATTCAGGGAGGGCGTAGAAAACACCAACTAGATTCAGGGAGGGCGTAGAAAACACCAACTAGATTCAGGGAGGGCGTAGAAAACACCAACTAGATTCAGGGAGGGCGTAGAAAACACCAACTAGATTCAGGGAGGGCGTAGAAAACACCAACCAGATTCAGGGAGGGCGTAGAAAACACCAACCAGATTCAGGGAGGGCGTAGAAAACAACAACCAGATTCAGGGAGGGCGTAGAAAACACCAACCAGATTCAGGGAGGGCGTAGAAAACACCAACTAGATTCAGGGAGGGCGTAGAAAACACCAACTAGATTCAGGGAGGGCGTAGAAAACACCAACTAGATTCAGGGAGGGCGTAGAAAACACCAACTAGATTCAGGGAGGGCGTAGAAAACACCAACTAGATTCAGGGAGGGCGTAGAAAACACCAACTAGATTCAGGGAGGGCGTAGAAAACACCAACTAGATTCAGGGAGGGCGTAGAAAACACCAACTAGATTCAGGGACGGTGTAGAAAACACCAACTAGATTCAATAAGGGTGTAGAAAACACCAACCAGATTCAGGGAGCGCGTAGAAAACACCAACTAGATTCAATAAGGGTGTAGAAAACACCAACTAGATTCAATAAGGGTGTAGAAAACACCAACCAGATTCAGGGAGGGTGTAGAAAACACCAACCAGATTCAGGGAGGGTGTAGAAAACACCAACCAGATTCAATAAGGGTGTAGAAAACACCAACCAGATTCAGGGAGCGCGTAGAAAACACCAACTAGATTCAATAAGGGTGTAGAAAACACCAACTAGATTCAATAAGGGTGTAGAAAACACCAACTAGATTCAATAAGGGTGTAGAAAACACCAACTAGATTCAATAAGGGTGTAGAAAACACCAACTAGATTCAATAAGGGTGTAGAAAACACCAACCAGATTCAGGGAGGATGTCGAAAACACCAACTAGATTCAGGGAGGGCGTAGAAAACACCAACTAGATTCAGGGAGGGCGTAGAAAACACCAACTAGATTCAATAAGGGTGTAGAAAACACCAACTAGATTCAATAAGGGTGTAGAAAACACCAACCAGATTCAGGGAGGATGTCGAAAACACCAACTAGATTCAAGGAGGGCGTAGAAAACACCAACTAGATTCAGGGAGGGCGTAGAAAACACCAACTAGATTCAGGGAGGGCGTAGAAAACACCAACTAGATTCAATAAGGGTGTAGAAAACACCAACTAGATTCAATAAGGGTGTAGAAAACACCAACCAGATTCAGGGAGGATGTCGAAAACACCAACTAGATTCAGGGAGGGCGTAGAAAACACCAACTAGATTCAGGGAGGATGTCGAAAACACCAACTAGATTCAGGGAGGATGTCGAAAACACCAACTAGATTCAAGGAGGGCGTAGAAAACACCAACTAGATTCAGGGAGGATGTCGAAAACACCAACTAGATTCAGGGAGGATGTCGAAAACACCAACTAGATTCAGGGAGGGTGTAGAAAACACCAACCAGATTCAGGGAGGATGTCGAAAACACCAACTAGATTCAGGGAGGGCGTAGAAAACACCAACTAGATTCAGGGAGGATGTCGAAAACACCAACTAGATTCAGGGAGAGTGTAGAAAACACCATCCAGATTCAGGGAGGGTGTAGAAAACACCATCCAGATTCAGGGAGGGTGTAGAAAACACCAACTAGATTCAGGGAGGGTGTAGAAAACACCAACCAGATTCAGGGAGGGCGTAGAAAACACCAACTAGATTCAATAAGGGTGTAGAAAACACCAACTAGATTCAATAAGGGTGTAGAAAACACCAACCAGATTCAGGGAGGATGTCGAAAACACCAACTAGATTCAGGGAGGGCGTAGAAAACACCAACTAGATTCAGGGAGGGCGTAGAAAACACCAACTAGATTCAGGGAGGGCGTAGAAAACACCAACTAGATTCAGGGACGGTGTAGAAAACACCAACTAGATTCAATAAGGGTGTAGAAAACACCAACCAGATTCAGGGAGCGCGTAGAAAACACCAACTAGATTCAATAAGGGTGTAGAAAACACCAACCAGATTCAGGGAGGGTGTAGAAAACACCAACCAGATTCAGGGAGGGTGTAGAAAACACCAACCAGATTCAATAAGGGTGTAGAAAACACCAACCAGATTCAGGGAGCGCGTAGAAAACACCAACTAGATTCAATAAGGGTGTAGAAAACACCAACTAGATTCAATAAGGGTGTAGAAAACACCAACTAGATTCAATAAGGGTGTAGAAAACACCAACTAGATTCAATAAGGGTGTAGAAAACACCAACTAGATTCAATAAGGGTGTAGAAAACACCAACCAGATTCAGGGAGGATGTCGAAAACACCAACTAGATTCAAGGAGGGCGTAGAAAACACCAACTAGATTCAGGGAGGGCGTAGAAAACACCAACTAGATTCAGGGAGGGCGTAGAAAACACCAACTAGATTCAATAAGGGTGTAGAAAACACCAACTAGATTCAATAAGGGTGTAGAAAACACCAACCAGATTCAGGGAGGATGTCGAAAACACCAACTAGATTCAAGGAGGGCGTAGAAAACACCAACTAGATTCAGGGAGGGCGTAGAAAACACCAACTAGATTCAGGGAGGGCGTAGAAAACACCAACTAGATTCAATAAGGGTGTAGAAAACACCAACTAGATTCAATAAGGGTGTAGAAAACACCAACCAGATTCAGGGAGGATGTCGAAAACACCAACTAGATTCAGGGAGGGCGTAGAAAACACCAACTAGATTCAGGGAGGATGTCGAAAACACCAACTAGATTCAGGGAGGGCGTAGAAAACACCAACTAGATTCAGGGAGGATGTCGAAAACACCAACTAGATTCAGGGAGGATGTCGAAAACACCAACTAGATTCAGGGAGGGTGTAGAAAACACCAACCAGATTCAGGGAGGATGTCGAAAACACCAACTAGATTCAGGGAGGGCGTAGAAAACACCAACTAGATTCAGGGAGGATGTCGAAAACACCAACTAGATTCAGGGAGGATGTCGAAAACACCAACTAGATTCAAGGAGGGCGTAGAAAACACCAACTAGATTCAAGGAGGGTGTAGAAAACACCAACTAGATTCAAGGAGGGCGTAGAAAACACCAACTAGATTCAGGGAGGGCGTAGAAAACACCAACTAGATTCAGGGAGGGCGTAGAAAACACCAACTAGATTCAGGGAGGGCGTAGAAAACTCCAACTAGATTCAGGGAGGGCGTAGAAAACTCCAACTAGATTCAGGGAGGGCGTAGAAAACTCCAACTAGATTCAGGGAGGGTGTAGAAAACACCATCCAGATTCAGGGAGGGTGTAGAAAACACCAACTAGATTCAAGGAGGGTGTAGAAAACACCAACTAGATTCAGGGAGAGTGTAGAAAACACCAACTAGATTCAGGGAGGGTGTAGAAAACACCAACCAGATTCAGGGAGGGCGTAGAAAACACCAACTAGATTCAATAAGGGTGTAGAAAACACCAACTAGATTCAATAAGGGTGTAGAAAACACCAACCAGATTCAGGGAGGATGTCGAAAACACCAACTAGATTCAGGGAGGGCGTAGAAAACACCAACTAGATTCAGGGAGGATGTCGAAAACACCAACTAGATTCAGGGAGGATGTCGAAAACACCAACCAGATTCAGGGAGGATGTCGAAAACACCAACTAGATTCAGGGAGGGCGTAGAAAACACCAACTAGATTCAGGGAGGATGTCGAAAACACCAACTAGATTCAGGGAGGATGTCGAAAACACCAACTAGATTCAGGGAGGATGTCGAAAACACCAACTAGATTCAAGGAGGGCGTAGAAAACACCAACTAGATTCAGGGAGGGTGTAGAAAACACCAACTAGATTCAGGGAGAGTGTAGAAAACACCATCCAGATTCAGGGAGGGTGTAGAAAACACCAACTAGATTCAGGGAGGGTGTAGAAAACACATCCAGATTCAGGGACGGTGTAGAAAACTCCAACTAGATTCAGGGAGGGTGTAGAAAACACCATCCAGATTCAGGGAGGGTGTAGAAAACACCATCCAGATTCAGGGAGGGTGTAGAAAACACCATCCAGATTCAGGGACGGTGTAGAAAACACCAACTAGATTCAGGGAGGGTGTAGAAAACACATCCAGATTCAGGGAGGGCGTAGAAAACACATCCAGATTCAGGGAGGGTGTAGAAAACACCATCCAGATTCAGGGACGGTGTAGAAAACACCATCCAGATTCAGGGACGGTGTAGAAAACACCATCCAGATTCAGGGAGGGTGTAGAAAACACATCCAGATTCAGGGAGGGTGTAGAAAACACCATCCAGATTCAGGGAGGGTGTAGAAAACACCATCCAGATTCAGGGACGGTGTAGAAAACACCATCCAGATTCAGGGACGGTGTAGAAAACACCAACTAGATTCAGGTTTTATCACTGAGGCTGCTATACTAACATGTTTTCATCAAAATGGTGATTTTCTTATTTACTAAAATAGGAGGGGGGGGGGATTTTAGAGCCTCAGTGATTTTACATGGATCTAAATCATCTAGAATGTGCAGCAGAACATCATGAGATGCTAGATCCACTGAATGATCTGAAAACATTTTCTTTTGCCCAGAGGTTAGATTTTCAGCTTTCCAGTAGATGCTGTCAGAACGGACCATTAAAAATACAGATCTAGAACTCCCAGACTTCCCAGTTTGGAGCTGTGGGTGGACCGATTAAAGCTTTAGCTTAATTTATTTCAAGGTGAATTCTAGAGCTGTAGCTCCCAGTGAAGATGATATAAAGCTTCTAGAATCAGACAGGACTTTATTCGAGTTAATTTCTAATAAATGGAATTAATAGAGAATAAACTGCGACCAAAGGATAGAAAACCATCATTAGATACAGCACTGATTCGTTTTACCTCAGCCTACCTGTAGGTGGCACTGTGGAGCTTTGCAGCACTCTTTTCATCCTTCTGTAGCATCCGTTTCATCCCTCCATCCAGGAAGTATTCTTGGCAGACGCTGAGGAAATGAAATGAAAAGATGAAAACCAGCAAAGCAGGACCTGATGGGGGGGGGGTTGGGGGCAGTCGTACCTGCGACACCACTCGATCCGCCCCTCCCCTTCACCCTTTTTGCTCCAGTGGTTGTCGGCCAGATTCTTCATGGCGACGGCGTATTCACCGAGCGTCTGCTCGTCCTCGCAGTGCTCACGCCAGATCCTGTCAAAGTCGCCGACTGAAAAAAAACAAAACAAAACTGAGTTTTCAGACGAATGAAATAAAAACAAGCAGCAGCCGGTCGTCCTCCATGACGCTGCAGCCGGTTTAAACCAGACTGGATTCTGGAACAATAATGGCGGCCAGGAGAGCCGCTGCTGGAACGAGCCGACATTCAACAGGAGAAACCCCATGACAGGGGGGGGGGGACCAGTGAATCCATGCAAAGCTTCCTGATCACACGCTTTACTCATTAACCAATCATAACCCCCCCACCCCTCCGACTTCCTCTTCATCAAAACATGAAGCCGTTCAAAAAAACCACTGAAAACTTCTAGGATTCTGTTTTAAGCGAGAAATAAAATAAGAATATAGACTGGAATAGGAACTGCAAACATTTCCTGAAGTTTATTCACTAAATTATTTCTGAAGCTCTCCTTGTTTTTTTTTTTGTTTTTTTTACCGCTCTGAGATTTAAAAATGAAAAAAGGAGAAAAACAGGTTTTTAGGTTCAAAGCAAACAGCCAGTTTGTTACTTTTAACTGGAAGATGAGAGTAAACTGCGGAGGATCTGCAGCAGTTTTCTCTTCATCTTCTCAACATTAAGATTCTCCATCTGCCATTTTGATTTTCTGCTTCTAAACCCACGCAGGCCTCAAAAGAGCGCCGCTAACCGGCAGCAGCGCCGCTAACCGGCAGCAGCGCAGGCTGGGACGTAGGCGGCTCACAGAGAAAGTTCGAAAATGTATTTATTCAAAAATATATTGAGCTCTCTGGCGCTGAAGTCATTACTCTGCTGATGAGTCGGACGGGTTTTTCCAAACTTCCCGTTTTTGCAAAAGAGGATTTTAGTTAAAAAGACAGCTGCTCAACTAAAATAAGAACCGCTTTTCTTTTCACGCGTTTGCAGTTTCCGTACAAGATGTTTCATTTGAGAAGCTGCAACAAAAACATCCGACTGAGTCGCACTCAAAACGTAGAAAACATCAAGTTCAAAGTTCATCAACATCAAAAACGATCTGTTGTTTTTAAATCCATGGAAGTTGATTTTCATTTTGCAAACTAGTCCAACAAAAAGTAGCAATTAAATGAAAAGTAAAAGAATAGGAAATAAAAGTGATTACATGGCTGTTCAAAACTGAAAAGTGTGGCTTGCATTTGTTTTCTGTCCTCTCCATATCTAGGGAATCCTAATGCTTGCAATAGACCTTTAATTAGCAAATATCTGTAACATAATTAAACAAGCTGCACAATATTAGAACCATTAAAAGTCGGAACATTTCTGAAAGTTGCATATTAATAATTTTTTCTTAGTTTGACACGTTGTCCTTCCCAGACTGTAAACACTGATGTTTGAGTGACTGTAAATAAACATGAGGCTAACATTGGGGCGTTTGGAGACATTTAACTGATCAAATAGATCAATATGTCGGGTATAAAAAGTTCACTAATGTTGATCCAGTATCACAGATGCCAACAAGAGATGGCGGCGCTTCAAAGCAATTCCATTCTATTCAGTTTATTTCTATAGCTCCGATTCACATCATGTCATCTCAGGTCACTTTCCAGTTCACCAGATCATCCAGTCAGATTGATTCAAAGTTTTCTATCTAAGGAAAACCAGCTGATTGCATCGACTCATTGACTCTTCAGCAATCCCTCACACTAAGCATGCTTGTAGCGACAGTGGAGAGGAAAAACTCCCCTTGAACAGGAAGAAACCTCCAGCAGAACCAGGCTCAGTGTGAGCGGCCATGAACAGCTCTGTGGGGTGTTAGACCAATCATCACTGAGTGTCGGCTAACAAGCTAACTAGCTACAAAGCTAACAGCTCTGTGGGCTGTAAGACCAATCATCACTGAGTGTCGGCTATCAAGCCAACTAGCTACAAAGCTAACAGCTCTGTGGGCTGTAAGACCAATCATCACTGAGTGTCGGCTAACAAGCCAACTAGCTACAAAGCTAACAGCTCTGTGGGCTGTAAGACCAATCATCACTGAGTGTCGGCTAACAAGCTAACTAGCTACAAAGCTAACAGCTCTGTGGGCTGTAAGACCAATCATCACTGAGTGTCGGCTATCAAGCTAACTAGCTACAAAGCTAACAGCTCTGTGGGCTGTTAGACCAATCATCACTGAGTGTCGGCTAACAAGCCAACTAGCTACAAAGCTAACAGCTCTGTGGGCTGTTAGACCAATCATCACTGAGTGTCGGCTAACAAGCCAACTAGCTACAAAGCTAACAGCTCTGTGGGCTGTTAGACCAATCATCACTGAGTGTCGGCTAACAAGCTAACTAGCTACAAAGCTAATAGCTCTGTGGGCTGTTAGACCAATCATCACTGAGTGTCGGCTAACAAGCTAACTAGCTACAAAGCTAACAGCTCTGTGGGCTGTAAGACCAATCATCACTGAGTGTCGGCTATCAAGCCAACTAGCTACAAAGCTAACAGCTCTGTGGGCTGTTAGACCAATCATCACTGAGTGTCGGCTAACAAGCCAACTAGCTACAAAGCTAACAGCTCTGTGGGCTGTTAGACCAATCATCACTGAGTGTCGGCTAACAAGCCAACTAGCTACAAAGCTAACAGCTCTGTGGGCTGTAAGACCAATCATCACTGAGTGTCGGCTAACAAGCTAACTAGCTACAAAGCTAACAGCTCTGTGGGCTGTAAGACCAATCATCACTGAGTGTCGGCTAACAAGCTAACTAGCTACAAAGCTAACAGCTCTGTGGGCTGTAAGACCAATCATCACTGAGTGTCGGCTAACAAGCTAACTAGCTACAAAGCTAACAGCTCTATGGGCTGTTAGACCAATCACTGAGTGTCGGCTATCAAGCTAACTAGCTACAAAGCTAACAGCGACATCGACCTGAAAACATGCTTGCTGGCTAAACTACAGAACATGGAAATTAAAATAAATGTAATTATAATTAATCAGTTCCAGACTGCTCTTACCCTCTCTGTATTTTCTGCGCAGTTTCCTGTGAACGTTTTTAACTAAGCCAGACAGTTTCTCCTGCACCTGCTTGCAGGGTACTTCCTCCGAAATGGCCCCACGGAGCCTCTCCTGGAGCCTCTCAGTCTCCTCGGCCTCCACCCTGGGGTTCATGGTTCGGATCCTCCGGTGCTGCCTCAGAGAGACGCCTTCCCCCTCCACCAGACGGACATCTGACCCGGCGAAGGGCGGCAGCCAGCAACGGAAGAGCCGATTGGTTGATCCGTCCCACATGCTCCAGTAATGGCAGCGTGTTGTCCAATCAGAGAGCTCTAGAATCTGACGGAATGTCGTGAAGCGTTTAAGGGCATCTGTAAATCTCGCTTTTTCTACAGAGAAGGAACAAGGCCGACAAAACAACAGAAGTTATTCATAGAGTAATATAATTTCTCCCATTGTTCCTCACTTTTCTGGTGTTATCTTTAAGCAGACCATTTCCTTCATAAAGCTCAGTAATCTTATCAAAAGCGCCAAGTAAAATGTGCGTTTTTATTGATTTATTTTTCAAATGGACCAGTTCTGATGCAAACAAGCAGCTGTAGCGAGTCAAACGATCTTTATAGTCACTGTGTGACTGGATGTAAGACAGCTTATGTTTTTACACTGATATTCTGTTATTTCCTTGTTGATCCAATTTTTGTTTATCTGAGATTTTTTTTTTGTGAGAAACACAAACTAATGTTTAATTATGAGTCTAAGTTAAAAAATATGTTTGAAAATCTAAAAGTAGGAGTAAAAACATCATTATAATGGTCTCCAAAAGTCACCTTCTTAAAATGAAGAAACAGAAAGAATAGACATGTTTATATTTTAATGCTGTATTAAAACAATCTGTTTTGTGAAGGCCTCAGATATTTGCAGGAGATGATTAGTGGACAAACGGCCACATTAAGATCAGCCAGGGTTCAGTCTAAACACAGGGTTAAAACAGGAATAGATTTGGAATAATAGATCAAGTTTTTGAATTTTAAATAACAAAGTTCAAGGCATGAGAATTGAAAAGAGTAGAGTAGGATTGCAGACAGCCTTGGCTGGGCCCGGGACCACTGGCCCAGTTGTCATACCCCCCCCCCCCCCCCCCCGATGTGATTGCAGGTCTACCAAGACACCACCTTTCTCCTTAACTTACTGGATACATTACTTATACAATACTTACTGGATTTTCAATAACAAAGTCAGGAAAACCATTCTGCAGCCAGATAATTTAACAAGGGTTGAGGGTAAGAAGTAAGAACTTGTTTAAAGAAAGCAAAAGAAGCCTATTTCTGCAGAATAAGCAAATTAGCAGCTCACATGTAAGATGAAACCAATTTTCTTTTTGCTGCAAAATTGTATGCATAAGAGAAACCTGACACTTCAACTGACCGTGAACATGGCACTGGTGGAGACCAACTGGGAGGATACTCTTCCTCAGCAGTGATATGGAAGCTGGGTGGTGTTAAAACAGACCCAAATGAAGCTTAATACAGAACAAAACAGCCTTATGGCAAGGAGTGTAAACATATAGACATTCGGGGGCGGGCCTGATAATGAGGCTGGAAGGGAAGAAGCTGTTTTTGTGGCTTGAAGTTTTGGGCTGAATGGTCCATATAGTCCTGCTAGAGGGAAGAGTCTGAAACAGTTTGTGTGCAACTGCATCCTTTCTGCTGGCCTCTGGGATCTAGAGGCGTTTGGTTCCTTAGGAGAGGAAAGTTGCAGCCAATGACCCTCTGCAGAGGCAGTAACATACTGCAGCTTGCCTTTGTCCCTGCAGCTCAAATGACTTCATTGTCACAGAGGGTTAGGGTTAGGGCCGAGTGATGCTTCTGTAGGAATGATGGGGGAGGATTGGAAGCTAGCTGGATTATGACATGTCTCCATTGAGGTGTTAAAATGTCTGCAAATATTTGGGACAGCTGTTCAACACATTGGCCACACCTGTAAGAAAATACACATTAAAGGAGAAAAGACTTCACTAAACCTGCAGGTACGATAGATTAGCACGTCCCTTAGCCAGAAAGACACAACTAAATCACCTAAATCCAAATCATTTTACAGATTTTCTACACTTCTACTGTCTAATAGGCAAAAATGTCAGTGTCTAGTAGAGCAAAGCAGGTAGACCTGCTGCATTAAATGCAGTAAAAGAAAGTCCATCGAAATATGGATTTTCCAGATTGTAAGAAATGTTTATCCTAATTATAATTTTTTGCCGCGTCACACTTTGTTTTACTTCATTACATAAAATCTCTTTCCAAATAAAACTGCTAAAAGTTAAAGTTGGATAAAAACTTTTCTAAGGCTCTGAAAATTACAACAAAAGGTAAAAAAAAACAACATAAAAATAGAAGAAATTCATTAATTTTATGTTTCATTTATTGATGTTAAACTCTTTGTGATATTTTTTCAATATAAACTAAATTTTGTGTTAAAAAGATGTTCTAAGTTTCCATGTAAATTAATCTGTGATACTTTTTATATCTGTCTTACTGAGGGTGTAAACAATCAGGGTTTGGGTTTAATAAAAAAAGATGCCTGAAGGAAATATAAAATGTAATTCCTGTTTGCTTTATAACACATTTTTAGCAAAGGAAGGAGTGTTTGGTGTTTGGTAATGTACGCAGTCAGAAATATCCCTGACAGGCTGATGATGACGGCTGCTATGCTGTTTATTGAGGTTTGCCTGTGAATCAGCTCCAATCTGGACTAATAATCTCAGATTCTCTCTGTTAAACTCATCGAGATTTAACCTTTAATTATATATATATACATTTTTGATCGCTTGACAATAATTTTTGTATTTTTCTCATTCCTCTAACTGAAATGTTTTTTGTACATGTAAAATATTAATATATGAGCATGCAAAAAGTTTTCCTGCTGAGTTGTTTAGACTGATTGATCAGTGATATTCATAAATAGAAGTAATAGATTATAGATAATAGAGCCGTCGTAAACAGATCAGTAGTTGGATGATTATCACTGAGCTGTTAGTGTAGTTATTAGAATAGGTGCAGGATTAAACTCCATCACTTTTGGTGTCTTTTCTTTCTGGGTTATTGTTAACACCTCAAAGCCAGAACATTTGCAGCCCTTTGTTCACATGGATGTCCTGATGAATAATTAATCAAGAGCAGTTTCCCTCTGAAATCCTCCAATGTTATTATCAATAACTTGGAAGCTTTATGTTTTTTCCTTGACTTTATAACTTTTTGTATATTCCTTAATCAATATTTTGTAGAGAAAACTTTTAATTAGTCTGATTGGGTGATGATCATCGGGGAACAGCAAAATTCAAGTGTTTCAAACTAAATTCAGATTACAGGTAGATTTATTTATCTTCTGTAGTTTTTTTCCAGCTTTATATTCTCATTCCACTGTCAGCAGTACAGAGCAGCCAAATTCCCTCTCTGCATTTAACCCCTCCCCTGGGGGAGCACTGGGCTGCCATTGTGCGGCACCAGGGGAGCAGTGTGGGGTTAAGGGTCTTACTCAGGGACCCAGAGTGGCAGTCTGTGGGAGTGGGCCCTAACCACTAGGCCGCCACTCCCCCAGAGTTCTGGCTCTGCATTTTGGACAGCTGTGTAGTGAACGTTCAAACCAGTGAAACGACCAACAAGTTGAACAAGCTGAGCCAGACACCCTGTCTACTTTTAGGCTAGGCTTAAAACTTTCCTCTTTGATAAAGCTTCTAGTTAGAGTGGCTCAAGTTATCCTGAGCTATCTCTATAGTTCTGCTGCTATAGGCTTAGACTGCTGGAGGACATAGGGACCCCTTTTTCATCATTCTATCTCTATTCTCCCACTCTGCAGAATCTGTTAGTTCAATCTCTAACGTTCTGCTCTCTCTGCTTTTTCTCATAGTAGCTTCATCTGGTCTGTTCCTGTTTGGCTGTGACTCCATCCTGGAGAGAAATATCAGCTGTGCTGCTGCCATCAACACCTTTGTTTCTAGATGTTGGAGCTCGGCCTGTTTTCCAGTGTAGTCCTGTTTCTCTGACTGTGACTAACTGGATGTGCTCTCTTCATCCTCTGACATGGGAGCTGGCTCGGAGCTCGTCTGCCTGGCTGTGTGTTTCCTGGACGGGGCCGCCTGTGGAGCTGGTTGACAGCTGCCTTTTGTATCTATGCTTCTTTTTCTATGTCTGCTTCTGTCTCCTTGAACCCCAGTGGGCCTCAGCAGATGGCCGCTCACACTGAGCCTGGTTCTGCTGGAGGTTTCTTCCTGTTCAAAGGGAGTTTTTCCTCTCCACTGTCGCTACAAGCATGCTTAGTGTGAGGGATTGCTGAAGAGTCAATGAGTCGATGCAATCAGCTGGTTTTCCTTAGATAGAAAACTTTGAATCAATCTGACTGGATGATCTGGTTGATCTGGATCTATAAAGTGACCTGAGATGATATGATGCGAATTGGAGCTATAGAAATAAACTGCATAGAATGGAAATGAACTTTGGAACTTACCTGCTCAGAAAACCTGCTTCTGCAGTTTAAGCTTAGATGAGACTTTTTTCTTAAATGAGAAATATGCATAAGAAGTTAAGTCTTTTTTTGACATCATAAGGATGAAAAGACAAACAGCTTGTTTCATAAGCACAGGCTTTGCTTTTATTTTCACTTTAACAGGCCTTTTTTAACTGATTAATAATAATGATTCATTGGGGTTCCACTAGATTTAGTCAGAAACATAAAGGCATACAGCTGTTTGTTTATTCTCTCCACAACAGAGACTAAACATCCTCCCATAGGGAAAATACAACAATTATTCTCATATGCATCATAAATAAGGTTTAATGCCAAGGAGTCAGTTTAAAAACAGTTGAAACAGTTTTTTTTTTTCCCAGTGCATTTCAGTCTTTTTGCTTATTCTTAATTGGTGGCTTCTCCCCTTGACAACACAGCCAAATGACTGATATCAGGTAAAGCAGGAAACAGGCAAGGAAATCATAATGGTATGCCACCACACCAAACACCACCATTAAGGAGGCACAGAGCAATGATTTGGAGACATTACTGCAGGAAAACACTTCTTTCCACCTCCATTGGTTTTGGTTCATTCTCTCCTGTGGATTGGAAGTTGCCTCAGCAGCTATTTTTATGTCTTTGTGAGTCTCTGGGAGGAACCTTTGTTGTTGTTCTTCATCCAGAGCTTCGCTGATTGATGGCATGAGAGTTGGTGGTACTTTCACTTTGCCGACTGATGTTTTTTTGTGTGCAGTGAAACCTGCACCTCTGACTTTGGCTTTGTGGGCCTGCGGCGATGCACCAGCAGCCCTCAGGCAATGTACGTACAACTGCAGCTCTTCGTCTGAATCTGACTCTGCTGAAGCGCTGTCAGCTTCCTCCACTGGATCGCATGTTCCTCTGTGGGAAGAGTGAAACATGCCGTTTGATTGGTCTGTGAGATCCTGGAGCCCTGCCTCATGGGACGGACTGGTGTCCATCTGGACACAACCGTATTTCCCTTCACTTATGTCCTTATTCGCAGCTCTGCTCACCAGAGCAGAAGCCCCATCTTCATCCTTATTTCCAGTAAAGTCTGACTTGAGTTTAAAAGCCCAGACTTTATCCTCTCTGTCTTGCTTTGCTATTTCTGAATCTGCAGTTACAACAATGATCTGTTTAAAATCTGAAATCTTCTGTCCTCCATTTTCCTTGTTCCACTGTGTCAGAATGTCTTCCTTCATCTCTATTTCCATCTTTTCTTCTTTATCTTCAACATTTACCTTTTCTGTTCCGACTGAATCAAACTCTGCTTCATCCTGCAGCTCTGCTGCTTCTTGCCCATCCATTTTATCTTCTTCAGTACTTTCTACTCTGTCTGCCATGATGACATAACCCTGCTTCACCTTCCTCTCTAACGCCACAGCACTCCCCTCCTTGATCTCCTTCCCGTCGCTTCTACTGGCTTCTGTCTTTGAATCTATCTGCTCACCTTCCTCTTCATTTGATAAAACGCTGACTTCCTCTTCAACCATCGTTTCCCAGTTTTTCCCCTCATCTATAAGGAAATTCTCATCTTGGTTTGAGAAAGAAGGTTCCATTTCACATTTCTTTTCCTGGACATCTTGATCATGGAGTCTCCCAGATGTCCCAGCATGGTAGTGATTGCTACTTCTAACCTCATTTAAGATGCTTTGAGCAGCTTCGTACATCACATGCATATCATCAGAGTTGCTTTCATCGTTTTCTGAGCCTGAAATGTTTTTGTTCTCCATATTCTTTTTCTCTTGAATTTCTAAACATGTATTTTGTGATTTAAGAAGCATTTTCTCTGGTTCGCAAAGATCCTCAACACTCTCCATGAAACCTCTACCGTCAGTTTGGTTGCAATTCAATTCATCGAGATTCTGTAAAAGATTGTCTTCTATGGAAGACTTGCAAGTTTTATAACTTTTGTTTTTGACCTCTGTGCTCTCATAGTTTTTCAGTTGAACCCCTCCTTCGTCATTGTGTTCTAATATAATCTGAGGTTTCAGACCCACTTTAGGTTCATCCTCTGCAGGTGTTTCATCCTCGTTCACTGAAACCACAGGAGGACTTTGCTCTGGTGATTTATATTTTCCTGGTTTAGTTGCTTTATTAGCCAGAATCTCCTCATCTGCTTCTGTCTGAGAATAAAGACTCCAAGGAGGAACTTTGTCTTCAAAACCAGATTGCAGATTCAGAGATGAGTAAATAGCGTTCTGGTCAGGCTGCTTCTCCATCTCGGTTGGATTCTCAACATTTTCTGTGTGTTTTAGGATCTTATTAACTGCCTCTTGATCCTCAAAGGTTGGGCTAATCAGTTTAATAACCAAATCATTTGATCCCTGACTATCAGTCACATTTCCCTGTACTTCACCCATGCTACTCCCAGTGTTAACTGGAAGAACCCCACAGATTTCTCTGGTTTCAGAGGGAAGAGTGAAGTTTCCACTGCTTACAGTTTTTGCAGCTGACACCTTCTCAAATGCTTGAGAGTAGAGCGGAGCGACCACCATGCCGAATGTGACGCGGTCGGTTTTGCTAATGAGGATTTCACTGCTTGCTGTTCCTGAGCCGTTAGTTCTTCCCAAACTCCCGTCTCCATCCTGATTGGTGGTGAAACACTCTATGAAATGTTGTGGTTCTGCTGCAGCAGACTCTCCGGCTGAAGGCAGGGACTTGGTTGAGATGCCTGACGCGCTCTCAGCTCGTGCTATAACAGCAGAGTCAGATTTAACCTGCTGGTTGGATGCGTCGTCATTATACTGAGGTATGCTACTCACTCCAAGGTCTTCATAAACAAACTGATCATTTTCTGGCTTATTTTTCCCTTCATTTAAAGGCTGAAGTGAGACAAAATTGTCTCCTGGGATTTCTTCTAGAGTTTCCTGTTTTGGGGTTTCTTTGGGTTTATTGTCTTTCCCAGCATCATCTTCCCCCCCTTCTCTCTGAGCGGCGTAGTAGCTCCTCAGCCTGGCCATCCGTGCAGCTTGTCTTTTCCTCCTCCGGCTGCTGTTCTGCTTGTTTTCCATCTGTCCATCAACAGGGATAGATTCATTAAGCTTTCTTAAACAAACAGTCCCTGTTAAAACTGCTTAAAAATCCAGAATATTAGTATACTTATGTTTGATTTTATTTGACAGATCAACACAAAGTAATGTCTAACATTGCATTCATATTATAACTTCTTAATCTAATACCTCTAAATAAAATCGGTTTCAGTCAGTTTCAGCTTTAAAACTATTCAGCTGTACTATGAAAGTCGCAGGTTTGTTAGAAAGCTTTAGAGAACAAACAGGATCATGTTGATAAAGGAAAATAGGTCAGGTTGGAGGCTGACAGCTGGAGTCCTTTATAATAGAAGCCCAGTAAGGAATCCTAATAATATAGACCTACAGATAGTTCCTCAGCTCCAGTCCTTGGTTTCTGGTCTCCTGCTACCTTTAGATGTGTCTCTGTTCAACACGCCGGGGTCAGATAGTTGAGTCAGCAGGACTCCAGACAACTGGACTGCATGCTGAGGTAACAGTTTAATTCTGATGTGGAATGAAACGTCTCAGAGCTGCAGGACACTGGAGCTCAAGGACTGGAATTAAAGAGACCTGCTTCAGATCAATACATGATTCAGATGTGTTAGACGGGCCAAGCAAAGTCCAGACATGGACCAACATCCTCATGCTTTGATTTTAACTCATGCTGCTAAAGCACTGAAGCCTTAAATCAGAAAAATTGAGTTAAACTACAAGTTAGCAGCCGTGCTAACATGAGAACGTGATAAAGTGCGAAAGGCAGGTACAAAGTCTCCTGATTCATGATGTTACTGTTGTAGCACTGAAGCTGGTGTCACGACATTCACACAGAAAAAGCAACCAAATCAAGTTCTCTGTTCTTCATGTGCTTCTTTCATTCCTAAAAATACTTCTTACCTCTTCAGTTTAAAGGTATAAATACTATTTGATGGAGCAAAACTGCAGTAAAGTTAACCAAGTGAAATATTCCTCTCACCAACAGCGTCTGTTCCTCTGCGTTAGATGTTGCTGACTGACCTTCAGGGATATTCAAAGTGCCCACCTCTGGAGCCCCGACAGACTCATCTGGAGAAAGGAGACATTTTGTTTTTGCGCAGTTCAAACATTTGGTTTTACATTTAGGACAAATTCCTTATTTCTCTCCCAGCAAAAGAAAAAATCACCTGTTGACATTTTTTCCTGTGATGAAGCTTTCTTTGATGAAATGTTTTCCACAGTGGAGGCACTCTGACTGTGGATCAATCAGAGAGCAGTCACACTCAGTTTGGCTCTCCTTCTACTTCATGTTCACTAATTCACCAATCAGCACAATGAGAGAATTGATAGACTGAGATGTTCTGCAGTTTCTATTCTTCCATCAGAGGTCAAAGGTTTTATTTAATTTGTTATATTTGGTGAGGATTTCATTCCCAACTAAAGAAAATGACATTGTGGAGATTGATGACTCTTTTTCTGGCAAATGACTCAAACTAAAACAACAGTTTAGATTCAAACAAATTAGCTGCTGAGCTTCAACAGTGTGCAGCTGAACTGACCAGATACACGTTAAAAATTGAACTTCTGCTGCTTTTATCTTTTAATCCCTGAGTATCCCTTACCTGACAGCCTTCAGGCAGCTTTTCTTGTTTGCGTTTTCCCTCTGCAGTTTCTCTATCCCCTCTTTCATTCTGCGCTGACAGGAGAGCACATAGTTGGCGTTGTTATTGTTAGACCAGAATGTCCCCACAGGAGTTTCGTACCGCAGACAAAAGTCGACCCTGACTCCCTGATCCCCAAACGGCGGCACCAAGGTGAGCTTAAACGAGAAGCTGTCTGTCACGCCATCACTAGAGCCGGAGACATACTCTGCCAAAAGGTCAAAGTGGGTGGCCCACCTGTCCAAAGAGGTTCTGATGTAGACAGACTTATCGTAGGAGATGTTGAGGACACGGATCACACCTTTAAGAATCGTGGTCCCTGGAAGTAACTCCACTGTTTCCAGTTCTACTTTCTGATTCAACACTTTGGCAAAAACCTCTTTGGGTGAAAGTGGAAGAGAGAACGTTAAGGGTGAGAGGTGGTATTCCACTGAATCTTTACCCTCGCCATCTACAAAGTCATATCCTGGCAGTTTTGGTACGTCCGACGTATTAAACTCCTTTACTTGCACCAGACTGAGGCCCTTGGCGTCAGCAAACGACACCCTCCGGGAGCCGCAGAAAGGAGGCTCAGGATCTGAGTCTTCGTCCGAGGTTGAGCACCTTCTGGATGGGATGGGAGAGGATCTGGGTCTGAAGCCGACTATTAAATCTCCTTCATCTTCATCGGGGTCCAAAGGGCTGAGGCCTGGGACTGATAGATAGTTACAGGCCTCCGAAGCTCTTAGCTGTCCTGCAAACTCCATGAAGTGAGTGTCAACTGCAGGACTTCTGGCAGCTGACATTCAACATGCTCTGACTTAACAGACGGGGTCCAGTTACAGATGACATTGTTGCTAGGGCCAACACTATAAATAGGCCTGAAGGGACGTGAAATGTATACAGTAGTCTAAGCTAAGTAGATGGATCTGTTGAACCCCTGCTTTTTCAGTCTGAGGGGGTCTTTAGCTCCCTTCAGTTAGTAAAACCAAAGCTTCTCAGACTCTGGTTAAACAGCTCTGGGGGGTGGGGGTTAAAGCTATGTAAACATTCCTTTTCTTTTTTCTTGTAGATCTCCTTTCTCACCATTTTTCCGAGGAACACATACTCTCAGATTTAGAGGATCAATCATTTGGGCTGTTTTCTGCAGTTTTTAGTTCACTTCATTTCTGAGAAATCACCCCGGTCCTAATGCAGCAAATAAGCCTGAAATCAATTCTATTCAGTTTATTTCTATAGCGCCAATTCACATCATGTCATCTTAATGCACTTTACAGTTCACCAGATCATCCAGTCAGATTGAATCAAAGTTTTCTATCTAAATCATCACAGACAGGCTTCAGGATGCAGGATGCAACTTATTGTCTCGTCATAAAGATGTCAGCAGTGGGTTTCTCCTAACGTTGCTTTTCTCCGTCTCTTATGGTAATCATAAACAATGCAAAACTGTGCAGGAACTATCCCTCTTCATCTTCTATACTACAGACTTCTCTGTTAAATCTTCTACTAAAGTTGTCTGATGGATTGCCATAGTCAGTCTCATCACAGCTCGGAGTGCAGACAGTGGAGTTAGAGCATTGTGGACTGGTTCCAGGGGATCAATGCAGGCCAGAGCAGGAGCTGATTTCTACAGGCATGTAGACGTATTACAGAGAGGTGACCTGAGACATTTTAGGCTGATTGAAGACCAGACATGCCGCCGCACTCTGGATCATTTGTGACGGTTTTACCTTAAAGAATGTTAGACCAGTCAGGAGTCAGGAGACTTTCCTTCAACATCCGCTGGAATTTGTTCATTACCTAAATATCTAAGTGGGTTAAATATGTGTATTTTCTGAGAACAGTGAAACTTTGAATGACTTCTGTGGAAAATCAATGGAACAAAAAAAGCAAAAACTTAAAATGGGCAATGCCTTTTAAGCTATTTGTGTAATAAGTACGTCTGATCACAGTAGCTGATCTCATTACTCACCTCATTCACCTGCCATTCACTCCCTGCTCTCTAATTACCATTCATCTTATCCACCTGCTATATATACGGTTCAGCCCAGCTATCAGGTCCAGATCCTTATTCGTTTGTATTCATGTTACATTTTCATGTAGTTATTCATGTTTGTTTGAGTTGTAATTCCTTTATGTTTGTGGTTCAAGTCCTGACTCTTGGAGGCCAGTGGATTGAGAGGATTTGGTGTTTGTCTCCTGATCGTGTGCCAGCTCTTCTCCGTTGAGCCCTCAGGGTTTTTCACTCGGAGTGCGGGGGGAGGTCAGTTTTAAATCCTGTGATCCTGGCTTCGAAATGGACTCCAGTTTAAAGTTCTGCCATTCTCCTGGTACCATGCCTTGTCTCCATTCCTCTCAACTACTAGCTCACCTATCTATATCTGAGCTTGTCTGAGCTCAAAGCTGGACTCACTGGAACTCTGAACTTGCCTGAACTCTCTGTGGATTCCTGGAACCCTGGATCTGTGAGTTCCAGTGTGGATCGGAACCTCTGGTCAGGCTGCAGACTCCTGAATCTGGGAACTGTCCGGTTCTGATCTGTTTCCCTGACCTGGATCGGTCTCCTGCCTGCTCACTGGGGCTGCTGAATCAGGGACGCTTTGAGCGGCTCTGCGCCGCATCTCGTTGACAGTCCATCGGCTGGATCTTGCCTTCCTCGGAGAGGATGGACTGAACTGTTAAACAAGAGTGTCAGTGATTGGGTGGTGCCCTGCCCCCCCCTGCAGCCAGTGCATGTCTACAGCTGCACTTGTTTTGTTTCTGTTCATTTTCTGTCATTAAAGGTTTCAAAACCTTCCCTTGAATACTGCGTCCATCTGTCCCGTTTTATGAAACATATAGCGAGTTAAAGTTATCCTTGATCCATTAATTACACAAGGTGCGTTAATTACAGATTACAAAATGAATTCATTTTAGATCATATAAAATACGCCAAATTAAATTCTGTTATAATGGCTTCATTGGACATTAAGCTGCCTTATTGTGGACTGAATAATGCTGAACAGAAAGGACCTCATCGACCAAAGTGGGAGCTTTCCCAGCTGCTCCACTTCCTCCATCAAACCCTGCACATGTTCTCACATCACCCTGACAACTTCTCGTTCCTCAGAGAACCTGAGCGCCCACATCCCTTCCCCGTTACAATCAGCCTCATTAGTTCAAACCGACTTTCCCTGCATGTGGATCAGACCAGAAAAGATTCCCTTATTTCTCTTAACCCATCTTTGTTTACATGGTTACCAAACCATCTTTATGGCTTCTAAGTTCATCTTTTTGCCATTTTAGATATTCAGTTATGATGTAAAAGCAGTTGAGAAGAAACATAATGTAGGAACCAGGCGGAAGAATATATAGCAATACAGTATAAGGAGCCAAACTTCCATGTCAGTGATGCTCCAGAAAGTGTAAAAAAGGAGGTGCGCCCTAAAACAAGAGGAACCCTTCAGTCTTTGTTTCTATTTGCTGGCACTACTCCCTCTAGTGGCATGAGTGCAAATAGATCAAAATAGATAAAGGTGTCTGATACAGAATGATCCAGCATCCTTTATTTTGATTTAAATCCAGATCTATAAACAGATAACGCTGCCAAATCTGCTAAATGAAGTTAGAAACTATTAGTCTTTGTAAACAAGCCAGAAGATCCAAGAATTTTCAAACTAGGGGAATTTATTTCTTTAAATTAGTTAATAAATTGAAATCAAGGAACAAAGAAGAAATCTGTGAGCAGCTTTGTTTCTTAATTCTCTCTCTTCATATCAGAGTGAAATATGCTCATTAAAATGGCCTCTATGCAAAATACATGAGATTTTTTTTATCAGCAGCTTCATTTGCAGCTTTTTACATCCCAGTAATCAGCTTCTATCATGGCTGTCATACTCAGTGACTGATACAGGGACTCCTCCCCCCTCAGGTAGGCTCACATCTCCATCAGAGAACTCCTTCGCTCAGTCCACACCTGCTTCTTTGGGAGACACCATCTCTGTCTGGCTGATTAAGGTATGTCCTTTTTATTTAATACGTCTAAAAAGGCTCAGAAGTCTAGTTTGTGTTAAGAACCTCAATGGGAAATGAGAAGCAGTCTTGGTCCTGTGCATGCTGCAGTTAGTAAACTAACCCATCATCACTAAGGTCTGCAATCATCTTCTACCTAAAAGATGTGAATGCATCAATAAACCCCATTATTAATCCTCCCACTTGGGAATTAATATAAACATTTAGCTGTCAATAAAAAGTCTAATATTTTTAAATGTGTAAAACAGAAGCAGATTTATACTTCATGATGTTTATTTCTTTTACCTGATATCTGCAGATAGATTCTCTGTTTCTGGAATCTAAATCCTTTTAATGCAGATTTGCTAGAATCTGTCGTTTCTTTTTTAAAATGACGCTGCAGGTTCCTTAAATAAACATCTTTGGTTTTGGGACAACAACGTGATTCCACTGGGACTTCCAGTCTGAAGCTTATTTACTGTGTGTCTTTTTTTAGGACCTGTGCTGAGATGCCCGAGTCTCCTCTCAGTCCCTCAGCAGCCCGTCAAACTCCAGCCAGGAGCCTCCTCAGCCACACAGGAGGAGGAGCAGGAGAGAAAGTCACTGATGGAGGCTCCTGCAGTGGATCGAGGGCACAAACCTGCCAGAGCCTCTTCAACAAACAGGTATCCTTCAGTCACAGCCTGGATAAACCGGCAGCGAGGAGCCGTGGACCTCAGGCAGGAGTTCAGATGGAGAACAGATCAGATCTCCTGTTTGAACCTTAATTATCCAAGAAGCAGATTTAATCAAATATCACTCAGCTTTAGGCTAAAAGAGCTGAAACTGTGAATCCAGCAGATGATAAACAGTCATTTCCACTTTTATTAATCATATTCTTCTGTTTTTGAGGACTGTGGTTTCAAATGTTTATGATAAAACACAGAAATATTTTCATTGGTGAAAATCAGTGTTTGCAAAAACAAATAGAGAGAAAAACTTAGACTATATTAAATGAGAAGAACTCAAATTAGAGTTTTACAATTTAGCCGAATGAGATGAATCATCCACTTGATCAGGAAACTAAAACATGTTCAGTTGAAGATGAGATCTTCTTTATGTCTCATTTTCATCTCCTGGATATAAATGAGACCCAGACCAGACGGGTTTTCTCATTCCTCTCAAATGTCTCTCCTGAGAAATAAGGCAAATGGCCGTTTACCTGTCCTGCAGAGACCGGCTGCAGGAAGGAGCGCACCTTGATGCCGCGGCTCTGTGGAGGTTAAAGATGGAGTTTCACTTTTTATTCAGATTTTATTCAGCTTTGGGGTTTTAACAACATTTTATGTGTCAGATGATAGAGAATCACAATTTAACAATCTCCTCATTTAACGGTTTTTAGCTGACACTTGTTTTTTTCCTTGATAGTGATTTTTAACTGACTTTGTTTTACATAAATAATTAATTCTATTGTTTGAATTGTGTAAATAAAGTTTTGTTAAAATCTAAAATCTCTCCTGAGAAATGAGTCTCCCTGTTGGCGCTACGCAAAGAATCTAAATTCTCATAAATCAGATCTCAGCTAAAAGAAAAATCTGACTTATTGTTCCGATTTCAGAAAGTCTTCATTTCACCTCCTTACTTGGATCCAGTGTCTCGTTTCTGTCTCTAATGGGATTAATGGGATTAATGCGATGCAATCAGCTGGTTTTCCTTAGATGGAAAACTTTGAACCTTTGATCTGACTGGATGATCTGGTTGATCTGGATCTATAAAGTGGCCTGAGATGACATGATGTGAATTGGAGCTATAGAAATTAACTGAATAGAATTAAATTGATTACTTGCAAACAAACTTGGAATAAATTACACCAGTAGCTGCCAGATAAAATGGTAAATGTACATTTCTGTAGTTATTGACGTTTCTAATCTGGTTGAATTAGACAGATTTGATGGGCGGCCCAAAACATTATGTTTGATTATATTCAGCTTATTATTACATTTTCTGAGTTGATGCTGTTTGTAATCCAGCCGTATCCCAGCGGCAGATAATCCATCGGTTCTTTGTCCCTGAGTCAGATCAGTTATTATTCTGAGGGGGTTTGCCTGCGTTAACAACCATACACTCCTATCAGGGGCCACAACCAGCATGAAATTGTGGCACTAATTAGGTTTGATGCGTCTCGCATCTCGTTCAGGGTCAACAGCGCTGTCCAGCATCACAATGTTCAATCAGGCCTTTACAACCAGGTGGTGTAGTTGCAAAGTTTCCCTGGTTGATTCTCCTGATGTCTTGCTGCAGATTGTGACGTTTTCTTGTTTTCTTGAAGGTCTTTCTGGCCATGATGGCTCCTCAGCAGCTGCAGCAGCTTCTGTCGCCCAACCAGCTGCAGGCGATGATCCACCACAAGCAGCAGGTCCTGCTGCTGCAGCAGGTACGTCTGCACCAGAGATCTACCTGCTAACCCAGGTAAACCTGCTAACTAGGGTAGTTAGCAGGTACATCTGGGTTAACCCTAACCCTCTGAAGAGAGAGAACCCCTCACTCCAGGAACTGGATTAAAGATTTCATAATTAAATCTGAATTAAGTTTAATTTTAGCAAACTGAGATTTTTAACATAAAAATATCAGAAGGAGCTAAGAAATGTTTAATCTTTGTGAAGCTTTTCTTTTTATTCTGTTTTAAATAAATGTATAAAATAAATTATATGAAGACAGCAACAAGATTTTTTCAGAAGAGCAAGAACTAAAGTCATCGAATAATCTAATGACTTATTTTTTCCTAAGTTCATTCAAAATAAAAAAAAATATACCGTAAGAATAAAAATAATAACATTATTGCACATTTTAAATAAATTTTTCTATTAATAGAGAGAGAGATAGATATGTGTATTTATATGTAAAGATTTTTCATTTTTAATCATAAACAAAAAGATTTTGTAGAATTTTTTCTAATTTGTTCTCTAAGCAGGTTCTTCTCCAGGGAAAAGCTTTTCTAAAAGAAAAATACACATTTTTAGCCTTTTTATTTTCGGGATCATTTGAAAAAACTTAAACAAACCTGAATAAAATGATCGGGTCATTAATATACTCTTTGTGTTTAAAATGAAATGAAATTAAAGACATTTTAAAGGACGGGAGCCAACAAGACATAAAATAGAATAGACTGGATGATCTGGGGAAATGTAAAGTGCCTTCAGATGACATGTGGCGCTTTAGAAATAAACTGGAAAGAATTTAATTAATTCTTTCTACCTTTTAGCAAAACCTGAAGGAATTTTACAAGCAGCAGCAGCAGCAGCAGCGACTTCATCAGCCGTCCAGCAGGAAAGTCAAAGAGGTAACGGCTTCATCATCTCCAACTCATTATGCATGTAGACACGTCTGTTTATGTGTATCTATATATACGGCTAAATCCTGGAAGACTGAGGCTCCGTTCTGTTTACGTCTCCAAACAGTGAAGCAGTTAAGGATCATACAGAGTTAAGATTAGGGTAATGGTAAAGAGTCCAGCCTTAATCCTCAGAACTAAAGATAAATGGAGAAAATAGCCAAATTTTTCTTTCCTATTTGAGAGTATAATTCTTTTTTTCCCCTATAAAATTCAAATAACTGAAAGATTGTTTGTTGTCATTTTTCTCCAAATGTTCTAATATGACATGATTTTAGTTTTTTCTTATAGTTTCCTGCTTTAGGAGAAACAAGGTTGTTGGTTTAAAGAAAATCTGCCGATGCTGTAAATCGTGTGAATTTTATCAGTTAGAAAACCAACATAGAAAACAGATATTAGAAAAGACAATGAGATGAAATGAGGGTTTGCTTATAAAACTGCTTAAACTTGTTCCTTATTACTATTTTCTATAAATATAATCTAAATTATGACATTTTTGCTGTTAATTCATAATGATTTTCTGTTTTGTTTGTAATTTTAATGTGTTTAATATAGAGAATCATATTATCATCATCTTTGCATAGAAATGTGTGGCAGAGCCTCATTTCTCCATTATTACAACGGTTTTCTTTATTTCTATAAAGATTTGTTAATTCAACATTATGATTTGCTGATTAACATTTTAGAATTGGATATTCATGTTTTATTTATGCTCAAATATTGAAAGTTTATTTTATTAATTTCTAAACATGAATAATTTGCTCTTATTTTTGGGGTTAAAGCTGCTGTGATTATTTATGTGAATCATTAGAAAGAAAGAAAATAAAGTTGCTTTACTGAAGCTGCAGCAGTTCTAATCTATGCAGAAAAGATCTATTCTTTATATATCATCTAATATAACTTATCATGTTAAAACATCTATTGTTATTAAAACGTTTAATTTTAAACCTTTTATTTGTTGCAGCTAATTAGATTGAATGAAAATCAGGACATTTAATAAGCTACTGCCTGCTTTAACCAATCAGATGCTCCTAATATAATTATTACTCATTTCTATAAAATATTACTGAAACATTTAAACAAAAAGAATGAAACATTAATAAATGTTGAGCTGTTTATTGTGAGAAATGCTCTGACCTCCTTCTGAAGGAGGAGCAGCAAACTCTGACCTCCTATGTTTTGCTCCTGCAGCTTCCTGCTCAGCACCTCCTGCAGGAGCAGAAACCGTCTGAACCTTCAGGTTCCTCCTTTTTCTGCACATTTTCAGTCTTTTCTTTTCTCTCAGGCTTTTTTACTTTAAACTTTTTTTATGATATTACACTTTTTTTTAGTAATTAGAAATAAATTTGTTTGATTCCTGCAGAGATGCAGCAGTTATGGGAAGACATCAAATCTGCTCTTTCCATCAGTGGGCCGAAGATGAAGGAGAAACTAGGGAGCAGCGAGGAGCTGCATGATTCTCCTCTCAGATCTGATCGGTAAAATCTTTGTTCTGCTGAAACGATTCTGCCTTTTTGTGTCTTCAGCAGCATGTTCGCTTTAATTCCCTGCGGGCCGATTTATTTTCTCCTCTTTGTTTTTTTTCTACCAACTGAGGTGGATCACTGAGAAAATGTCCTGAATCAAAAGTACATGTTTTTTCGTTTATGTTGGGCTCCTTCCATCACCTCAGTCTGGGAGAAAACAAAGAAAGTTTTCTTTTAGGATTTCTGGTCTTTTGTCGCTTTGACTTTAATGTTTTTTCTGTTTTTCCTCCTGATCATCCAGCTGTGCTGCAAACGAGGATCAGGCTTCAGCAGACGTGCTCTTCAGTCACGGCGTGTGCAACTGGCCTGGTTGTGAATCCGTTTGTGAAAATGGCCGCCAGTTTTTCACGTGAGTTTGAATCGCGCCTCCAAACCAAGTTTGTCTGAGAGCCGAATGGAAGCGCAGAGAAAAGAAAACCAGATGAATGAAAAGGATTAGGATTATACAGGGGCCATTCTAGACAGGGGCTAGCAGGGGCCTACAGGGACCAACAGGGACCTACAGGGACCAACAGAGGCCTACAGGGACCTACAGGGACCAACAGGGGCCTACAGGGACCAACAGGGGCCTATAGGGACCTACAGGGACCAACAGGGGCGATTCTAGATAGGGGCTAGCAGGGGCCGACAGGGACCAACAGGCACCTACAGGGCCCAACAGGGGCCTACAGGGACCAACATAGGCCTACAGGGACCTACAGGGACCAACAGGGGCCTACAGGGACCAACAGGGGCCTATAGGGACCTACAGGGACCAACAGGGGCGATTCTAGATAGGGGCTAGCAGGGGCCGACAGGGACCAACAGGCACCTACAGGGCCCAACAGGGACCAACAGGGGCCTACAGGAACCAACAGAGGCCTACAGGGACCAACATGGGCCTATAGGGACTAACAGGGGCCTACAGGGGCCAACAGAGGCCTACAGGGAACAACAGGGGCCTATAGGGACCTACAGGGGCCAACAGGGGCCATTCTAGATAGGGGCTAGCAGGGGCCGACAGGGACCAACAGGTACCTACAGGGCCCAACAGAGGCCTACAGGGACCAACAGAGGCCTACAGGGACCAACAGAGGCCTACAGGGCCCAACAGGGGCCTACAGGGACCAACAGAGGCCTACAGGGACCAACAGAGGCCTACAGGGACCAACAGGGGCCTACGGGGACCAACAGAGGCCTACAGGGACCAACAGGGGCCTACAGGGGCCAACAGAGGCCTACAGGGACCAACAGGGGCCTACAGGGACCTGCAGGGGCCTTTAGGGACCTACAGGGGCCTACAGGGGCCTACAGGGACCAACAGGGGCCTACAGGGAACAACAGAGGCCTACAGGGACCAACAGAGGCCTACAGGGACCAACAGGGGCCTACAGGGACCAACAGAGGCCTACAGGGACCAACAGGGGCCTACAGGGACCAACAGAGGCCTACAGGGACCTACAGGGGCCTACAGGGACCAACAGAGGCCTACAGGGACCAACAGGGGCCTACAGGGACCAACAGAGGCCTACAGGGACCAACAGGGGCCTACAGGGACCAACAGAGGCCTACAGGGACCAACAGGGGCCTACAGGGGCCAACAGAGGCCTACAGGGACCAACAGGGGCCTACAGGGACCTACAGGGGCCTTTAGGGACCTACAGGGACCACAGGGGCCAACAGAGGCCTACAGGGACCAACAGGGGCCTACAGGGACCTACAGGGGCCTTTAGGGACCTACAGGGGCCTACAGGGACCAACAGGGGCCTACAGGGACCTACAGGGGCCTTTAGGGACCAACAGGGGCCTACAGGGACCAACAGAGGCCTACAGGGACCAACAGGGGCCTACAGGGGCCAACAGAGGCCTACAGGGACCAACAGAGGCCTACAGGGACCTACAGGGGCCTTTAGGGACCTACAGGGGCCAACAGGGGCCATTCTAGATAGGGGCTAGCAGGGGCCGACAGGGACCAACAGGCACCTACAGGGCCCAACAGAGGCCAACAGAGGCCAACAGGGGCCTACAGGGACCAACAGGGGCCTATAGGGACCTACAGGGGCCAACAGGGGCCATTCTAGATAGGGGCTAGCAGGGGCCGACAGGGACCAACAGGCACCTACAGGGCCCAACAAGGACCAACAGGGGCCTACAGGGCCAACAGGGACCAACAGGGACCAACAGGCACCAACAGGGCCAACAGGGATCAACAGGGACCAACAGGGGCCTACACGGACCAACAGGGGCCTACAGGGACCAACAGGGGCCTACAGGGGCCTATAGGGAGCTATAGGGACCAACACGCACCTACAGGGACCAACAGGGGCCTACAGGGACCAACAGGCACCTACAGGGCCCAACAGGGACCAACAGGGGCCTACAGGGCAAACAGGGGCCTATAGGGACCTACAGGGGCCTATAGGGACCTACAGGGGCCTACAGTGGCCTATAGGGACCTACAGGGGCCTACAGTGGCCTACAGGGACCAACAGGGACCAAAAGGGGCCTACAGGGACCAACAGGGGCCTACAGGGACCAACAGGCACCTACAGGGCCCAACAGGGACCAACAGGGGTCTACAGGGCAAACAGGGGCCTATAGGGACCTACAGGGGCCTATAGGGACCTACAGGGGCCTACAGTGGCCTATAGGGACCTACAGGGGCCTACAGTGGCCTACAGGGACCAACAGGGACCAAAAGGGGCCTACAGGGACCAACAGGGGCCTACAGGGACCAACAGGCACCTACAGGGCCCAACAGGGACCAACAGGGGCCTACAGGGCAAACAGGGGCCTATAGGGACCTACAGGGGCCTATAGGGACCTACAGGGGCCTACAGTGGCCTATAGGGACCTACAGGGGCCTACAGTGGCCTACAGGGGCCTACAGGGACCAACAGGGACCAAAAGGGGCCTACAGGGGCCTACAGGGGCCAACAGGAACCAACAGGGCCCTGAAGGGCCTACAGGGGCCAACAGGGACCAACAGGTCATTATTTTTTTTTCGTTTTATCTTCTGTGATTTTCCACAAATTTGTTTCAGGTCTTGATTAAGTTTATAATTTATTTCTTTTATCTTCAGTTTATCCGTCTGATCATCAAAATTACAGAAAAAACCTGGAATGCTTGTTTGGTGGGAGGTCCTCTGGGCACCAAAGGTCCTCTGGGCCCCAAAGGTCCTCTGGGCCCCTATAGGTCCTCTGAGCCCCAAAGGTCCTCTGGGCCCCTATAGGTCATCTGAGCCCCAAAGGTCCCCTAAGGTCTTCTGAGCCCCAAAGGTCCTCTGGGCCCCTATAGGTCATCTGAGCCCCAAAGGTCCCCTAAGGTCCTCTGGGCCTCCATAGGTCCTCTGGGCCCCTGTAGGTCACCGGAGCCCCAAAAGTACCCTAAAGTCCTCTGGCCCCAAAGGTCTTCTGAGCCCCAAAGGTCCTCTGGGCCCCAAAGGTCCCCTAAGGTCCTCTGGGCCCCTATAGGTCATCTGAGCCCCAAAGGTCCCCTAAGGTCCTCTGGGCCTCCATAGGTCCTCTGGGCCCCTGTAGGTCCTCTGAGCCCCAAAAGTACCCTAAGGTCCTCTGGCCCCAAAGGTCTTCTGAGCCCCAAAGGTCCTCTGGGCCCCTATAGGTCATCTGAGCCCCAAAGGTCCCCTAAGGTCCTCTGGGCCTCCATAGGTCCTCTGGGCCCCTGTAGGTCACCGGAGCCCCAAAAGTACCCTAAAGTCCTCTGGCCCCAAAGGTCTTCTGAGCCCCAAAGGTCCTCTGGGCCCCAAAGGTCCCCTAAGGTCCTCTGGGCCCCTATAGGTCATCTGAGCCCCAAAGGTCCCCTAAGGTCCTCTGGGCCTCCATAGGTCCTCTGGGCCCCTGTAGGTCCTCTGAGCCCCAAAAGTACCCTAAGGTCCTCTGGCCCCAAAGGTCTTCTGAGCCCCAAAGGTCCTCTGGGCCCCTATAGGTCATCTGAGCCCCAAAGGTCCCCTAAGGTCCTCTGGGCCTCCATAGGTCCTCTGGGCCCCTGTAGGTCCTCTGAGCCCCAAAAGTACCCTAAGGTCCTCTGGCCCCAAAGGTCTTCTGAGCCCCAAAGGCCCTCTGGGCCCCTATAGGTCATCTGAGCCCCAAAGGTCCCCTAAGGTCCTCTGGGCCTCCATAGGTCCTCTGGGCCCCTGTAGGTCACCGGAGCCCCAAAAGTACCCTAAAGTCCTCTGGCCCCAAAGGTCTTCTGAGCCCCAAAGGTCCTCTGGGCCCCAAAGGTCCCATGAGAGGAACATGGAAGTTTATTTTTTCTCCACTTTGGTCTCTAAAAGTTTCAACTTTATTCTTGAAATAATTTTTTGTGAAGGAAAATATTCAGTTTTTCTTTCCTGGAAAAACGGAAAATGTATCTAATTATCTTTTACAACCGTTATGTTTTTCAATCTGTGTTAAATTGATCAAACTAGTTCTGGATTATTTTCTTAGAAGATATTTTATCCAGATTCCACATCTGCCCAGAAGGAAGCTGTGAACATCTGTGTGATTTTGGTAAAGATGTCGTTCAAAGTTTTATTTTTATTTTTAGGCATCTGAGCAGTGAACACAGGTTGGATGAGCGGAGCACCGCCCAATGCCGAGTCCAGATGCAAGTAGTCCAGCAGCTCCAGCTGCAAGTGAGCAACAGTCCTACCAAACCCACATCAGCCTGCTTAGAAAATATCTATCTGTATATAACTTTAAGGAATAAATAGTTTAGGTTTTATTATTCAGAGGATTGAACATTTCTATGCTAATTAGCCACTTTCAGATTTGAACACAGAAGCGTTTCTTCTTCTTGAACAGCTCTGCAAAGAGCGGCAGCGTCTGCACGCCATGATGACTCACCTGCATCTGCCTTGGCTGCAGCCTCACTCACCTCAATCTGATGCAGCTGCAGACCTTCTGGGCTCACAGGTAACCTGATGTCATCGAGCTGAAACTCCTGTGATTTCAATGCTGGCAGATTATAATTGAGCAAATCGTCTCCAGTTGATCAGGCTGTAAAAGAAAAGTCAGTATTTTACCAAAAAAAAGAGAAAAACTTGTCTAAGAAGAGATGAAAGTCCGACGCAGGTGGATTTGGATGCATTTTCTCTCGTCAACATTTTTCTCTTCTATGCAGTTTTTGACTCTTTGTTTTGGAGCGTTGGGCCCAGCAGACGGGAGCAGCCATGTTCCCAGACCGTGGACACGCTCTCATCATGCGGAAACTAATCTTTTGTTAATCTTGCAAACACTGAACCTTAATTGCAACACTAAGCAAACGATTTCACCCTGTAATTAACAATAATTGGCTTCAATCTTATTGTAATATTAGTGGGAGCTGCTCAGAGGAGGCGAGTCCAATCGCTCTTCACGCTTGATTAAAAATGTCTCAGTTTTGTTTGGTTTCTCTGTCTGTCATTTTGGCAGCAGTCTTTTGTTAGTTAAATGATGTAATTTGCTTTTAGCTCCGCCCAGCAGCGTTCACCTCCAAACCTCGGAGCGTTGCCAGGTCTCCACCTCGAGGCTGTGAGGAAGAGGGGCCCATTTTTAGATACTCCCCGAGGGCCATGAGGCATCATCCCCCTCTGTTCTCTCTGTCTTCAGGTAAAGGCTGGATTTTATTCAACGAATAACAAACGCAGCTGATTATTAATCTTTTTATGGCTTTTCTCTCGTCATGTTTCGTCTTCCTGCAGAAAATGAGTATGAGCTCTACAGAAACGCTGACATCAGACCCCCCTTTACCTACGCAGCCCTGATCCGACAGGTACGATCAAACCCTCAGGGCCGCTGCCTTTCAACTAATACTGGACCTTTACTGTCCTACTTTAATGTGTTTTCCATAAAAATATGAACACAGATAACAAACCACATAATACATGTTTACAGTTTATGTTTATGAAATATATTAAGTTGGCTTCTAAAGTATCCATACCTGTTTTTCTTCATATTTTTTACACTACAGCCAGAAATAAACTGTTGGCATTTTACAGACCAATACGAAGTGGTGCGTATTTTGAAGTAGAAGGAGGATTGTAGAATGTAGAAATCTGGCTGACTTATATAGAAGCAGCTGTACTGCCTTATATATCCTTATTCATGGCTTTATATTTACTTAGCAACAAAAGATGCAGTTGAAAGGGTGTTTGAATCCTAACAGTACAGGCTGAAGGCCGAGTATGAATCTTAGCAAAAATAAAGTCCCTAATGGCTCATTTATACACAATTAGATGATATATTAAGAGGTTTTGCATAAACAGAGAACGTCTGTATAAACATTCTTCCAAATGTCAAAACAGCCTCTGGCTTCGACCAGCACACGTGAATTCCAGTAAGCTTTCGACATGATATTCCGTCGCGTTTGTGCATTTATATAATGCGATGTTGAGACTATAAAACAGCCTGAGATTAAATGAGAGTTGGGGGAAAACTGAGATGTTGATATTTTTATATGTTTTAAAACAAAGCGGAGTGTGTATGACGTCATCCACGCGGCGGGCTGGAGGTGTGACAGGCAGCCCGGGCCACAGGCGGCTACTCTCTACCCCTTCTATTCATTCTAGCTAATCTGAATCGTTCATCTGGAGAGCGAGATCATCTGTGGTAGCAGCACTAGACATCTTCCAGGCATGAGAGGAAAACTAGCAGCAGTTCAGCGGACAGCATGAAGGAACGGTAGCCGGCGCACGCTGATGATGTCATACACGCCGCTTCGTTTCTGAAAAATATAAATATAAAAAATCTAATGTCTGGGGGACAGTGATTGGCCTCCATGTTCTGAATGCTGGCGTGCCATAAAGAATAAATGATGAACAGTTTAGTTTGTGCCTTCAAGTCGTTGCCCATAGGAAGACGTTACTGGATATAACCTAACGGAATATCTTCAGAACGGCTCCAAATGACACTAAACTCATATGGGTGATAGAACATGATGGAATAACGGAAAATCAAGGGACCAATGGAAAAAAAACGGCGTTCCCCTTTAAATAATCTGTTAATCAAACCTAAACCAGCCGGAGCTAATGTGTGATTTACTGTCAGTATAAACAGAGACTGAAAGCCTCACATTTATTTTTTAGGGATCAGTAGAATGGAGAGAGTGCAGTCTTACCAATGTCTGGCAAACAAGGCATTTAGCAAAAAGGCAGTGAAGTTTCCACTTGATACTTTGCATTTCATGAAGCACTGATTTAATTCTATGCTGTACTTTATTATTTTTTATTCCTTGCATGATAGGCCATAATAGAAGCCTCAGATATGCAGCTCACACTCAATGAGATTTACAACTGGTTCTCCAGGACCTTTGCATATTTCAGACGCAACGCTGCCACCTGGAAGGTAAACACCGCCGCTCACCATAGACTCGTGTGTCTCAGATTGGTTCAGCAGAACTTTCTCCATCCGTCTGATTTAGAACGCTGTCCGGCACAACCTGAGCCTCCACAAGTGCTTTGTGCGCGTGGAGAACGTGAAAGGTGCAGTGTGGACGGTGGATGAGGAGGAATATCAGAGGAGGAGGTCTCAGAGGATCACAGGGTAATTCGCCTCCTATCGACTCATCACATCAAACTTGATCTACCCTCTATAGTGGCAGACATCTTTGAAGGACGGCAGGGCAGAGCTGATAAACTAATGACTGTAGAGACTGCCTTAATGAAACCTATATTGATTAATTGATTGATTGATTGATTGACTTCATTGACATCAGAATGGACTCGTTGTTCGTTACATCAGATCAAATAGTCAAAGAAGGAGGTGCCAAAGGAAAAAAAAGCTGCATGGGATTTATACAGCATATACAGTGTGTCCACATAGGACAGCTTTTTATTTATTTTTATCCACAGACTATTATTTATACTAATACTGTTTATACAATTATCTGTAGATATATAGTATTAGTAGAATAAATAATAGTATTCTATTTTTAATGATCTATGTTAACAAACATCACTTGATTAGGTGATGTTTGAGTAGATGTTGCTGCAGTCTGCAGTCTGACCACTAGATGTCACTGAAAAACAAACACTAGCTTTAACTGTCTGCTATTTGGCATCCCTTTGAAAAGACCAAACAGGTAACTAATTCACTTTCTAAGCCAAGCAGTAAAAGATTAAACAAACTTTTGACAAAGCAAACCTGAAAATGAGCTTTTTCTTTGAATAATGTAATTTTTCCTCTTTTAAAATCCCACCTGGCCCTTTTAGGAGTCCATCACTGATGAAAAGAGTCTCCTCAGGTCTTCCTCTGGCTGCAGTTCTGCACTCCAGCTTTCAGGTCAGATGATTTTTGCTTTTTTAGTAGCTTCTCTTTGAAGACATTGGTTTAAACTTTGCTGTTTGATTTCAGGCCTCGCTGGGAGAAGCATCGCTAAACCGACTCAATAAGGAGAGTTTCGGACTTAGAGAGGAGAACAAAACAGCAGAAGGCAAAAGCGTCCAAAAACAAAACCCCTCTTCTGAGGTCCAACAGTGAGTTGCCCTTTCAGTTGTCTATAACATGAACCTATCGAATGACTGAAAATCACACTTTCTTGTTTCACACAGGCAACTTATTTTGGAAGATGGGGAGCTGAATTTAAATGAGGAAGAGGTTCAGCTGCCGAGAGTCAAACCTGTCAGTCTGCAGCGAAACATTCATGGAAGCAACGAGGAGCTTTTATTTGGCCTTGAATGACCCTTCAGGTGTGGCTCAGAGCTGCCACTTTAATTTAGATAATAAAACCTGCATCAGTAGATTAAGATTCCCATGATTTGTTAGGTTTGCAGTTATTCAGCACGTCCTGGGACTCCATCCAGATGTTTGATTTAAGGATCCATCCAGATGTTTAATGTAAGGACCCATCCAGATGTTTAATTTAAGGACCCATCCAGATGTTTGATTTAAGGATCCATTCATGTTTAATTTAAGGATCCATCCAGATGTTTGATTTAAGGATCCATTGTTTAATTTAAGGATCCATCCAGATGTTTGATTTAAGGACCCATCCAGATGTTTGATTTAATGATCCATCCAGATGTTTGATTTAAGGATCCATCCAGATGTTTAATGTAAGGATCCATCCAGATGTTTGATTTAATGATCCATCCAGATGTTTAATGTAAGGATCCATCCAGATGTTTGATTTAATGATCCATCCAGATGTTTAATGTAAGGATCCATCCAGATGTTTGATTTAATGATCCATCCAGATGTTTAATGTAAGGACCCATCCAGATGTTTGATTTAAGGATCCATTCATGTTTAATTTAAGGATCCATCCAGATGTTTGATTTAAGGACCCATCCAGATGTTTGATTTAAGGATCCATTCATGTTTAATTTAAGGATCCATCCAGATGTTTGATTTAAGGACCCATCCAGATGTTTGATTTAATGATCCATCCAGATGTTTGATTTAAGGATCCATCCAGATGTTTAATGTAAGGATCCATCCAGATGTTTGATTTAATGATCCATCCAGATGTTTAATGTAAGGATCCATCCAGATGTTTGATTTAATGATCCATCCAGATGTTTAATGTAAGGATCCATCCAGATGTTTGATTTAAGGATCCATCCAGATGTTTAATGTAAGGATCCATCCAGATGTTTGATTTAAGGATCCATCCAGATGTTTGATTTAATGATCCATCCAGATGTTTGATTTAAGGATCCATCCAGATGTTTGATTTAATGATCCATCCAGATGTTTAATTTAAGGATCTATCCAGATGTTTGATTTAAGGATCCATCCAGATGTTTGATTTAAGGATCCATCCAGATGTTTGATTTAAGGATCCATCCAGATGTTTGATTTAAGGACCCATCCAGATGTTTAATGTAAGGACCCATCCAGATGTTTGATTTAATGATCCATCCAGATGTTTGATTTAAGGATCCATTCATGTTTAATTTAAGGACCCATCCAGATGTTTGATTTAAGGATCCATCCAGATGTTTGATTTAATGATCCGTCCAGATGTTTGATTTAAGGATCCATCCAGATGTTTGATTTAAGGATCCATCCTGATGTTTGATTTAATGATCCATCCAGATGTTTGATTTAAGGATCCATCCAGATGTTTGATTTAATGATCCATCCAGATGTTTAATGTAAGGATCCATCCAGATGTGTGATTTAATGATCCATCCAGATGTTTAATGTAAGGATCCATCCAGATGTTTGATTTAAGGATCCATCCAGATGTTTAATGTAAGGATCCATCCAGATGTGTGATTTAATGATCCATCCAGATGTTTAATGTAAGGATCCATCCAGATGTTTGATTTAAGGATCCCTCCAGATGTTTGATTTAATGATCCATCCAGATGTTTGATTTAAGGATCCATCCAGATGTTTGATTTAATGATCCATCCAGATGTTTGATTTAATGATCCATTCATGTTTGATTTATGATCCGTCCAGATGTTTGATTTAAAGATCCATCCAGATGTTTGATTTAATGATCCATCCAGATGTTTGATTTAATGATCCATCCAGATGTTTAATGTAAGGATCATCCAGATGTTTGATTTAAGGACCCATCCAGATGTTTGATTTAATGATCCATCCAGATGTTTGATTAAAGGATCCGTCCAGATGTTTGATTTAAGGATCCATCCAGATGTTTAATGTAAGGATCCATCCAGATGTTTAATGTAAGAATCATCCAGATGTTTGATTTAAGGATCCATCCAGATGTTTGATGTAAGGATCCATCCAGATGTTTGATTTAAGGATCCATCCAGATGTTTAATGTAAGAATCATCCAGATGTTTGATTTAATGATTCATCCAGATGTTTGATTTAAGGATCCATCCAGATGTTTGATTTAATGATCCATCCAGATGTTTGATTTAATGATCCATCCAGATGTTTAATGTAAGGATCCATCCAGATGTTTGATTTAATGATCCATCCAGATGTTTAATGTAAGGATCCATCCAGATGTTTGATTTAAGGATCCATCCAGATGTTTGATTTAATGATTCATCCAGATGTTTGATTTAAGGATCCATCCAGATGTTTGATTTAAGGACCCATCCAGATGTTTGATTTAAGGATCCATTCATGTTTAATTTAAGGATCCATCCAGATGTTTGATTTAAGGACCCATCCAGATGTTTGATTTAATGATCCATCCAGATGTTTGATTTAAGGATCCATCCAGATGTTTAATGTAAGGATCCATCCAGATGTTTGATTTAATGATCCATCCAGATGTTTAATGTAAGGATCCATCCAGATGTTTGATTTAATGATCCATCCAGATGTTTAATGTAAGGATCCATCCAGATGTTTGATTTAAGGATCCATCCAGATGTTTAATGTAAGGATCCATCCAGATGTTTGATTTAAGGATCCATCCAGATGTTTGATTTAATGATCCATCCAGATGTTTGATTTAAGGATCCATCCAGATGTTTGATTTAATGATCCATCCAGATGTTTAATTTAAGGATCTATCCAGATGTTTGATTTAAGGATCCATCCAGATGTTTGATTTAAGGATCCATCCAGATGTTTGATTTAAGGATCCATCCAGATGTTTGATTTAAGGACCCATCCAGATGTTTAATGTAAGGACCCATCCAGATGTTTGATTTAATGATCCATCCAGATGTTTGATTTAAGGATCCATTCATGTTTAATTTAAGGACCCATCCAGATGTTTGATTTAAGGATCCATCCAGATGTTTGATTTAATGATCCGTCCAGATGTTTGATTTAAGGATCCATCCAGATGTTTGATTTAAGGATCCATCCTGATGTTTGATTTAATGATCCATCCAGATGTTTGATTTAAGGATCCATCCAGATGTTTGATTTAATGATCCATCCAGATGTTTAATGTAAGGATCCATCCAGATGTGTGATTTAATGATCCATCCAGATGTTTAATGTAAGGATCCATCCAGATGTTTGATTTAAGGATCCATCCAGATGTTTAATGTAAGGATCCATCCAGATGTGTGATTTAATGATCCATCCAGATGTTTAATGTAAGGATCCATCCAGATGTTTGATTTAAGGATCCCTCCAGATGTTTGATTTAATGATCCATCCAGATGTTTGATTTAAGGATCCATCCAGATGTTTGATTTAATGATCCATCCAGATGTTTGATTTAATGATCCATTCATGTTTGATTTATGATCCGTCCAGATGTTTGATTTAAAGATCCATCCAGATGTTTGATTTAATGATCCATCCAGATGTTTGATTTAATGATCCATCCAGATGTTTAATGTAAGGATCATCCAGATGTTTGATTTAAGGACCCATCCAGATGTTTGATTTAATGATCCATCCAGATGTTTGATTAAAGGATCCGTCCAGATGTTTGATTTAAGGATCCATCCAGATGTTTAATGTAAGGATCCATCCAGATGTTTAATGTAAGAATCATCCAGATGTTTGATTTAAGGATCCATCCAGATGTTTGATGTAAGGATCCATCCAGATGTTTGATTTAAGGATCCATCCAGATGTTTAATGTAAGAATCATCCAGATGTTTGATTTAATGATTCATCCAGATGTTTGATTTAAGGATCCATCCAGATGTTTGATTTAATGATCCATCCAGATGTTTGATTTAATGATCCATCCAGATGTTTGATTTAAGGATCCATCCAGATGTTTGATTTAAGGATCCATCCAGATATTTGATTTAAGGATCCATCCAGATGTTTGATTTAAGGATCCATCCAGATGTTTGATTTAATGATCCATTCATGTTTGATTTATGATCCGTCCAGATGTTTGATTTAAAGATCCATCCAGATGTTTGATTTAATGATCCATCCAGATGTTTGATTTAATGATCCATTCAGATGTTTAATTTAAGGATCATCCAGATGTTTGATTTAATGATCCATCCAGATGTTTGATTAAAGGATCTGTCCAGATGTTTGATTTAAGGATCCATCCAGATGTTTAATGTAAGGATCCATCCAGATGTTTAATGTAAGAATCATCCAGATGTTTGATTTAAGGATCCATCCAGATGTTTGATTTAAGGATCCATCCAGATGTTTGATGTAAGGATCCATCCAGATGTTTAATGTAAGAATCATCCAGATGTTTGATTTAATGATCCATTCAGATGTTTGATTTAAGGATCCATCCAGATGTTTGATTTAAGGATCCATCCAGATGTTTAATGTAAGAATCATCCAGATGTTTAATGTAAGAATCATCCAGATGTTTGATTTAATGATCCATCCAGATGTTTGATTTAAGGATCCATCCAGATGTTTGATTTAAGGATCCATCCAGATGTTTGATTTAAGGATCAGTTTTCTTTCTGCTTTCTGTTTGGAGATTCAAGCTGTTTTTTTTTCAGATTCATATTTACTTCCTACCTTCTTTCCCAGCCTCCCTGTTCCTGCTAATGAAAAGCAACCCCACAGCATGCTACTGCTACCACCGGGTTTTAATATGAGGATTGATTTTTTCAGGATGATGTTCGGTTTTTCTCCACATGCATCCCATGTAGCCCAAAAAGTTTAATTTTTGTCTCATCAGACCAGAGCAGAGTCCTTTGCTTGTTTTTACTGTTGCATGGCACTTCTTCAAATTTGTTTCACCAGTTAATTCCTCCTACAGGAGCAGTGGAACGCTGCAGCTCCTCCACAGTTACCACAGGCCTTTGTTTGCTCCTACTAATGATGCATTAAGGGAACTGGACTGAACATAATGAGCTTCAGAAGCTTTTTAAAATGTAAATGATATTTTCTGGCTCATTTATCAGAGAACTTATAAGTCCGACAGTCACTAAAGTCATTTAGTTTGTTACATACAAACATCCAGATTTACCAGTTTGTCAGAATGTCTCTGCAGTAACAGGCCGTGGTTATAGAACACGATCAAAACTATGATGCTAATGATTCTCATCCAGAGATAGATTTAAAGGCCTATTTGTCAGTTCTGGCATCATAAATTACATTTACA